CCTCTTTTAGCCTGCCCCATCATTGATGTTTCTGTCTCTCCCTCTCCCTTCTCTGAAATCAGTAATAAATACACACACACATACACACACATCTATAAAAAAAAAGAAGTTGCATCCATTAATTTTAGCATTCATTGGTGGATCTTGCCTGTCATAGTTATTATTGTGATGATCTGGTGATTTTCTGTTTCTCTCGTTTCTTCTACATGTATTATTTGGAATCCTCCTGTAAGGAAGATTTGTGTCTTCTCTCTCATTTATTTAATTATTTATACCCATATAGACTCATGAATATCTATTTTATTGCTTGGGTTATAGCATGTGGTTGTTTACTTTGTGGCTCATATTGTTCTGCTTTGGCCATTGAGAGAAATTTCAGGTTGGCTCCTGTATTCTTTTAACATGCCATGTTCCCATACATTTTTTCCCTCTAGTATTTTGCCCCAAATGTAACCAGAGATGGCCATAAATATTCGTTATTTGTTTGTTTTTTGTTTGTTTTTAAATATGGAACGCTTCACGAATTTGCGTGTCATCCTTGGGCAGGGACCATGCTAATCTTCTCTGTATCGTTCCAATTTTAGTATATGTGCTGCCGAAGCGAGCACAAATATTCGTTATTTGTATTTCACAATGAAAAAGGCTGATTAAAATGCAAAATTAGAATGTCCTCTGATCTCTTAGCACATGCTTTGTAAAAGACACAGTGCCAGATTTTGGATACACAGATGAGTCAGTTTACCTTCACAGATAGTTATGTCAAACAAGAGTGGAGGAATAGATTCCAGACTACTTAGGGGGATAGAATATGAAGGGTTATAGCAAACTAGAGGCCCGGTGCATGAAATTCGTGCACTGGGCGGCTGGGGTGGGGGCATCCCTCAGCCCGGCCTGCATCCTCTCGCAGTCTGGGACCCCTTGGGGGATGTCCGCCTGCTAGCTTAGGCCCACTCCCAGCAGGCGGACATTCCTCTTGCAGTCTGGGAGCTCTTGCTCCTTACCACCTGCCTGCTTGCTCCTTACTGCTTGGCTTGCTGCTCCTTAGCACTACTGAGGAGGTGGGAGAGGCTCCCGCCACTACCACTGTGTTCGCCAGCCATGAGCCCGGCTTCTGGCTGAGAGGCACTCCCCCTGTGGGAGCGCACTGACCACCAGATGGCAGCTCCTGCATTGAGCGTCTCCCCCCTGGTGATCAGTTTGTATCATAGTGACGGGTCTTTCTGGTTGTTCCACCTTAATGGTTGCTTAGGCTTTTATTATATAGATTAGACATGAAAATGACCAAAGGAAGTTCAGATTTGGGAGCAGTGGATAGGATTTACTAGGATAATCTAATATATGAGAATGGTGATTACAGTTGTAACTACAGATTTCTGATCTAGCAAAATTATATTTTAGACTAAAAACCCAGCCATGTGCCCTGGCAGGGAATCGAACCGTAACCTCCTGGTTCATAGGTCGACCGTCTACCACTGAGCCACGCTGGCCAGGCCTGATTTCAGATTCTTGGGAAATAAAGAAAAAATAGTCTGACCATTTGCTATAGTATTCTTGAATCTTTTAACAGTGATTATTTTTTTTGTCCCAATGTAAGTAACATTCTCTTAGTGTGTATTTTCAATAAAGGAAAGAAGTTTGTGAGTTTGACTTTGTTTGCCTTTCTCCATGTCTCTTGTCATGTTAGTAGTAATGGTTTGGGAGAGAACAAAATACAGTTGACCCTTGACCCAATGGCACAGTATAAAATCTGCATATAACTTAAGTGGATCCTCCACTTATGCAAATTCCTAGCTGTTGACTCATGGACAATGGATTTTAAAAACTTGTGTGAAAATGGACCTGTGCAGTTCAAACCTGTGTTAACTAGAATCTTGTTTAATATTGAGTATCTCATTGTAAAGAAGAGGGCTCAATTCTTCATATTATGTATAATGGCTGTGAACCTTATATTATCATAAACTCATAAAAACTCATAAATTAATGTTTGAAATAACACTCTAACACTTTAAAAGAATGTGGTAATTGAAATATGGTGACTTTACCATATTTCTTCCCAAACCTGTAGGGAATTTTTATGAGTTTATTTGAGCCAAACTGACAACATATGCTGGGTTGCAAGATCTGAAATGCTTCCAACTATTATTTTCTTGAAACCATAATGTAATTTGTAATAATTAGGGAACATTCATGTTTTTTCCAGCCTTATGATTACTCTGAAATAGAGAAATTGCTCTTTAAGGTAATGATGCTACCTTGGGCAACATCTGTGGCTCAAGGCTGTCCTTTATTGTAACAGGCTCCAGTACAGCTGATTCAAGGGATGTTAATTGAATGTCTGCTGGATGCCTGGCACTGTGCTGAGGGAGATTGATAAATTCAGAGCATCTGTTATGTTGAAATTTCTGTTAAAAACTAAGTAATTATAGTGGTATCAATGGTGCGATTATTCTTGCTAACTGAAATGTAAATTCTTTTTTTAAAATATATTTTTTATTGATTTCAGAGAGAGTAAGGGAGAGGGAGAGATAGAAACATCAGTGATAAGAGAGAATCATTGATTGGCAGCCTCCTGCACGCCCCACACTGGGGATCAAGCCCCCAACCTGGGCATATGCCTGGCAGGGAATCGAACCGTGACCTTCTGGTTCATAAGTCGACCCTCAACCATTGAGCCACGCCAGCTGCGCCTAAAATGTAAAACATGTACTTACTCATTGCTGATGTTCAGCATCCTTAAGAATTTAATCTAATTAAGAAGGGAGCTATCAATAGTGCCAAAGTCAGTCAGAAACTGTATTGCCCAATAAAAGTTGTATGGTATTATGTATTAATCATTTATTAAGGGTAAAATTTTACAATCATTAGCTTCCCCCCTTTTTTCATTAGGATGTCAAACTGAAAAGGCTATTAGTTATTTAGTTCATCCTGTGCTTCAATTCCCTTCTTAATTACTTATTTAAAGCTTATTTCTTTCTGTGAACTTTATTTTGCTGCTGATTAGAGCACTTTGGATCCCCCCCCCCCCTTTCCTTGAGATATAATTAGGGACAATAAGTGTACTTTGGTAACTTGGTATAACCAAAAAGATATGTTTTAAGTAACACATATCACGGTAAGCCTGGGTAATAATGAATATTCAAAAAAATAATCACTGTTAAAAGTTTTACATCTTGCTTACATGTAAATGTGATCATTGTAATCCTAATTTAAATTGTGAATGATATTTGGGTTTCACCTTACATAGGTAGCATTTTTTAAAAACAAAATCACAAAGAACAAAATTGAAACTCATGTCTTCTAAAATAATAAACTGTAAATTCTGGATCGTTTTTAACCTTTTGAAATTGCTTAATAGAACTGGTCAGAATTAGGAAGGATCTGTGAGGGGTTCCTTTGGAAACCATGGGCAGATAGTCTGTTGTCTTCAGGTCCATAAAGGAATCTCTGGGGATGGTCTTTGAGTCAGGCCTGGCAATGGTCAGTGTACATAAATAGAGCCTAGCTTTCAATGTTTTCTGAAGAATGCTTTAATACAAGCTTAGAATGTTCCTCAAGTTGTGTGTTTTCATAAAACAGCCTTTTATTTTTAATTTATTTTTATTGATTTCGGAGAGGAAGGGAGAAGGAGAGATAGAAACATCAATGATGAGAGAGAATCATTGATTGCCTGCCTCCTGCATGCCCCCCACTGGGGATCAAGCCCAAAACCCAGGCATCTGCCCTGACCAGGAATCGAACCGTAACCTCCTGATTCATAGGTTTACGCTCAACCACTGAGCCACGCCAGCCAGGCAAACAGCCTTGGATTTTACCACATCTTTAGTTTAAAACATTTATCATATAGGGTTACCAGAAGTTAAATGATCCTTTTTTTTTTTTTTTTTTTTAAGGGAGAACTTCCAGGTAGATGCTAGGGAAGGATCATAAAAGCCCCTTGGAAAATTGCTATTAAAAAATGATTTGATCTTGGAATTAGGAGGAGAGATTTGTTTTATTGGCAAGAGCAATGGAAAGTTATCTCTGTATCCTAATACTGTAAAGGGAGTGGGATTTATCTAGCATAGTTCTTTGGGCTCTCCAAGAATGCATATCACTTATGTTTTATTTCATTCTTTCCTTGGAAGTAGTTCACTGATCTCAGATCATTGGTGGCATTGCTTATTTTACTTTTAGATAATTCCATCCTGTGTAGTGATTCATCAAAAGAGCTTCTGCTGTTGGTTGCAATTTTGGCTTCTCTTAAGCTATTCATAGGCTTTTCAAGAGCTGTAGTCTTCTTCAGTGAGCTGTTAATTATTCTTGGTATATTTTTGTTGCAGAATTTACAATACAATATGCTTTTTATTAATGTGATTTTTTTTTTCCTTTTTGCAGTGATTACTTATTCAAGTTGCTTCTGATTGGAGACTCTGGAGTTGGAAAGTCCTGCCTCCTTCTTAGGTTTGCAGTAAGTTGAAATTGAAATGCCTTTAAAGAAATTAATGTTGTGTACATTTTCTAGGTAGACAAAAGATTAAGCTGTTTTATTCACAGTATACTAAATCTTCCAGAATTTATATATTAAAGTCTCTGAGTATACACCCCTAGTGATACCTTTGAGTCTTAAATAAAAGAAATGCTGTTGTTCTTAAAAGAAATTCAGCAAAGTGTGGTTTATAAAATCAGAGTTGATAGTCTTGGTAGAGGTCAAACAATGTTTCATTCCAACTTGGGTCGTAAGGTAAGGGGAAAATAGTTGGCCTGTGTTGAAAGCAACTTGATGGAAAACAACTTTTCAAGTAAAAGTTTAGCAAAAGAAAAAGAAAAAGCAGGGCCTGGCACATTTTGACAATGGTGCTCTATATGCTGAGATTTATCAACAGATAAGTGACTTTCAACCTAATGAATTCACAGCCTCCTTTATAGTATTTATCAACTGCCTTCGAATTTAGCATATTTTCTGTCTCATTATATCTTTGGTTCTCAGAGTGTGGACTAAAGGCCCTTGGGGATTATCAAGACCCTGTCAGTGGGTTGTCCATGAGATCAAAACTATTGTCTTAATAATACTAAGCTGTTAGTACAGACAGTCCTCGGGTTACGTCGCCATCTCCCACTTATTTATAAAAAAAAAAGTTCCGTCATTTCGACGTATGTACATATGTGCTTTATGTTTTTTATTATTTATTTACCACAAGTAAAGGTCAGTAATTGTTATCTTTCTTTTAAATTTACTGTTTCACTTCATTACTGCTGTGCATGTGCTCCATGTGAGTGATGTAGATGCTTATGTAGGTGGGTTCTGACTTATGGCGAAAATCGCGTTACTTCGCACCGTAGGAATGGATCTCTGATGTAACCCGAGGACCTACTGTATTTACTAAGTAAATAATTACTTAGTACTAAAAAAAAAAAAAAAATTTGCCTTTTTCACTGTGTTGACATTTGCCCTGACGATGCAAAAGCAATGGTAGGGTAAAACTGCTGGTGCATTAACACAGCATATCAAGGCAAAGCTAAGCTCCAGACTGTATTCATGCTTATTGTATTTACCTCTATTCACTACAGGGGGAAAAAACCATTTTCACTTAAGAGTGTCTTTGATAAAACAGTAAAAATGATTATTCTAAAAGTCTTGTTCCTTGAGTATTCTTTTTTAAATATGTTGTGAAGAAATGAGGAATACGCATAAAACACTTCGTTTAGTTGTCTCAAGGAAAAGAAAAGTAAATTTTTTTTTTAACTTGAAAGAACAACTGATAGACAAACTATAGTTATGTAGAATTGGGTATTGGCAGACATTTTCTCAAATGAACTGAGATTGTCATTTAAAGGAAAATATTTGGCAGCATTTGCTGCCTTTAATAAAATTCAAACTTTAAAAGAAAATTGGAATTTTAGAAAATTTATAATTCACCACTAAGAGCTTGGCAGCATCTCAAAAAATATGACTTTTTTTGATAAGATAAATGTTGATATTAATGTCATTAAAAATAATTACATTATAAAAAATGAAATGGAAGTACTAGAATAACACATAGGTGATTCTTTAATATGTGTGAAAGAGTATTCTGATAAAAAAATTAGAAAAGATTGTTAAATTTGATTGTATTAAAATTAATGTCAAACATATAAAAATGTTAGAAAACAAATGGTACTAGAAAGAGAAATATGAGGAAGGGATGATATTGTCAGTATATAAAGCACACTTACACATTAATAAGAAAATATGCTTGTCCTAATAGAAATATGGGCAAATACATGAGTAGGCAGTTCACAAAAGAAGAGATACAAATTAAATATGAACAAATGTTCAATTTTATTTGTAATTAAAAGCTTAAAATTAGATTTTACTTAATTTTTATTAAATTGGCAAATACTAAAATTGATAAATGTTCCTAGTATTAAATCAGCAATTCTTGGTGGATGGGAGGAACTGGTATATCTCTTTTTTTAATATGTATTTATTTTTATTGATTTTAGAGAGAGAAAATCATTGATCTGCTGCCTCTTGTACACCTCCCATTGGGGATCGAGCCCGAAACTCAGGCATTGCCCTGACCAGGAATCACACTAGGACCTCCTGGTTCATAGGTCAATCCTCAACCACTGAGCTGTGCCAGCTGGGCAGAAATGGTATCTTTTGATGAAAGTGGCTATATAGTCTGAGAATTTCGTGTTTCAAAGAAAATCCTCTTTGAAATGCCTATTGATCTAAGTTACAGGTTTTCAGTACTACCTACACAGTAAAATCACCCAGGAGCATTTCTAAAAATACTGATTTCGGGATCCCCAAAATAGATACCAGGCACAAAAGATATTGTAAAGAAATGTATAGTAAGCTATGGGAGCACAGAGGAAAGGATCTCTTAACTATTGGCTGAGGAATTGAATGTTTGGACAGTTAGTATTGCCCGGGCTCAAAATTGAAGAGTGAGTAAAAATTGCCATGTGATCCAGGGGCTGGGGTATGCAGAAAGGGAAAACTGAGAATTTGAACAGAAGGAAGAGCATGTGCAGTGTCTCAGCCATGCAAATAAGAGTCATTTAGGGGTTTATATGAATTCTAGCAAAGCATTTATAAGTATTTCTAACAAAACACCTGACATGTAGAAGTGCTAAGTGAAAGTTTATTGTATTCATTTTGTTCTCTATCCACTTTCTACAGTGCCTGTTACTTATTAGATATGCAATTAAAAATAAATAATTTCAAAATGAATATCTAGTGATGAGGAGCATTTTGTCAAATTGCAGTCAATGCTTTTAAATGTATTCTTTCACCCAATAGTTCTGCATGTGCACAAGTGTGAATCTATGAGGAGAATAAGTCCCTTGGAACTCCCTCCCTCTGATCACATTTTATAATTTAAAAAGATATTCTTATTGATTTTTTTTTTAAGAGAGAGAGAGAGAGAGAGAGACATTGATGTGAGAGCACATCATCCATCAGCTGCCTCCTTGCAAGCTCCATACCCAGGATTCAGCCTGCAACCTTTTGGTGTATAGGATGATGCTTAACCAATTGAGGACAGTAGCCAGGGCTACAGTTTTCTCTAGAGTTTTTTTTTTTTTTTAATCCTATGTATGATCAGATTCTGCATTATCAAGAGTTGCTCACACTCTCATTTTCCCTTTTTTGTTGGAGTGTTGTAATGCAGATCTCAAGTGTTGTCTCCCTCTATGTCAGCGGTTCTCAACCTGTGGGTTGCGACCCCTTTGGCGGTCGAACGACCCTTTCACAGGGGTCGCCTAAGACCATCCTGCATATCAAATATTTACATTACAATTCATAACAGTAGCAACATTACAGTTATGAAGTAGCAACGAAAATAATTTTATGGTTGGGTCACAACATGAGGAACTGTATCTAAAGGGCCAGAAGGTTGAGAACCACTGCTCTACGTACTTCCGTATGAATTTCCAAAAACTGGACATTTTCATATCAAATAACATTGCCATTGTTAACTTAGAAAATAAATTTCCCCGATTGTCTCATAAGTATTGGTATTATGGTTGATTTGAATTAGTATTCATACTTGGTCCACACATGGTTCCATCCATACATGGTCCCATTTAGTTATTTTGCTGCTTAGTCTCTTAACCTAGTTTTCCCAACCTTCTCTTTTTTTCATTTTATTTTTTATTTTATTTATTTTTTAATTGATTTCAGAGAGGAATTGAGAGTGGGGAGAAAGATAGAAACATTAGTGATGAGAGAGAACCACCAATCGGCCGCCTCCTGCACGCCCCCAACTGGGGATCGAGACCACAACCCGGGCATGTGCCCCTGACCGGAATTGAACCCGGGACCTTTCAGTCCGCAGACCAACGCTCTATCCACTGAGCCAAACCAGTTAGGGCCCAACCTCCTCTTTTTTATGTGTTTTTCTTGTCATTTACTTTTTTCAGAAACCAGGGAAGTTTTCCTATAGATCGTTCAGTATTTTAGATTTGTCACTTTGCTTCCTTGTGGTGTCTTCAAACTTGTTGAAATTTCTCATGTTTCTGTAATTGGAAGTAAACCCCCAGAGCTGTGTTATCCTTATGGTATCTACTAGCCCCATGCAGCTATTTAAATGGAAACCAATTACAATTGAATAAAATTAAAAACTCAGTTCCTTTTACTCAGTTGCCACTTGGGGCTAGTGGCTACTGTATTAGCTAGCTCAGCTTATAGAAACATTCCATCATCAAAGGAAGTTCTGTTTGATAATGTTACTTTTAATAGTTTTAGGTTTGATTAGATTTAGGACCATCTTTTTTGTCAGAATACTTATGTGGTACTTTATGCTTGCTAAGATTGTTCAGTGGGTTTAGGTGTTGATAGCTTGATCTCTCCATGTATCTTTTCACAAGCATTAAGAGTTTTGTTTCCATTCTGAGTAAAATGTCAAAACAGATAACTTGAGAAAAACAGGTATAATTTTTAAAGGTTAACATTGGGTTAAACATTGTTCACGTAAAAGCTTATACACAAATGTTCATAGCATTATAATAGCCGAAAGTAGAAACAACCAGATGTCTGTCCATCAGCTGATCAGTGGATAAACAAAATGTGGCATATCCATACAATAGACACTGAGTGGCCAGATTATTATGACCACCCCATCAGTACTTCATTGACACTTCCAAAAATATTGAATATTGAAAGCTTCCTAAGAAAATACTCTCAATGCTTTATTATTATTATTATTATTTGCATAACTAATTCACTTCATTGTACTGATGGGGTGGTCATAATAATCTGGCCGGTCATAATAATCTGGCCACTCAGTGTATATTATTCAGCCATAAAAAAGGAATGAAGTATGCCCAGCCAGGTGTGGCTCAGTGATTGAGGGTAGACCCAGGAACCAAGAGGTCACCAGTTCGATTCCCGATCAGGGCATATGCCCGGGTTGCGGGCTCGGTCCCCAGTAGGGGACGTGCAGGAGGCAGCCAATCAATGATTCTCTCTCATCATTGATGTTTCTATCTATCTCTCCCTCTCCCTTCCTCCCTGAAATCAATATAAATATATTTTTTAAAAAAAGGAATGAAGAAGAACTAATACATGCTATAACATGGATGAACCTGGAAAACTTTATGCTAAGTTAAGCCAACATGAAAGGCCACATACTGTATGATTCCATTCTTATGAAATGTTCAGAATAGGCAAATCCATAAAAACATAAAATAGATTAGTGGTTTCCAGGGTCTAGGGGAAGAGAAGGAAATGGAGAGTGACTGCTACTAGGTACAGAGTTTCATCACAGGATGATGAAATTGTTCTGGAGTTAAATAATGGTGTAGGTTGCATAACCCTGTGAATATACTAAACAAAACCATTGAACTGTACACTTTATTTTATTTTTTTTAAAATATATTTTATTGATTTTTTTACAGAGAGGAAGGGAGAGGGATAGAGAGTTAGAAACATCGATGAGAGAGAAACATCGATCAGCTGCCTCCTGCATGCTCCCTACTGGGGATGTGCCCGCAACCAAGGTACATGCCCTTGACCGGACTCGAACCTGGGACCCTTGAGTCCGCAGGCTGACGCTCTATCCACTGAGCCAAACCGGTTAGGGCTGAACTGTACAGTTTAAAAGGATAAATTTTATATTATGAGAATTTGAAAAAGTCATAACTAGGAAATAAAATTGATTTCTAAAAAATCCAGAAGAGGAGAGTGACATGGTCATTAATTTGTGGTGAATAAATGGGATTTGTGGGTAGGGAGGAGCTAGAGTTTCACTGATTAGCAATTAGGAAAATTATTCATCATTGAAAATATAAAACCTTTTCCTATGTAACTTATGTAAACAATTTGCCAAGAAATGTGTGAAAAATTAAAGAATAGTTATTGAACAAAATCTTAAGAAAAAACTTAAATAGTGCTTTTAATCAAAACATGAAGTAAATACTGGAGCAGGATGGAGTGGTTGTTCTCAACATGTTATACCTTTTAACCTTATCAACTTTGTATATAAAAGTTAGCACTGTTTTCTTATATACTCTAGTATTGAACATTAATTTTAATCATGAACTATTTTTCTCTTCAGGATGATACGTATACAGAAAGTTACATCAGCACTATTGGTGTGGATTTCAAAATAAGAACTATAGAGTTAGATGGGAAAACAATCAAGCTTCAAATAGTAAGTAATTTTTGAACTAGAAGTTTTTTTAAAAAATTATTTTGATAAATTTAGAATGTATTATTTATTTTTTAATATTTAACAAAATTAAATTTGAAGTATTTTAAGCATCATGCATCCATGATAGAGTGGTAGAATAAGAATTGTTCAGATTAAAAATGACTTGTCTAAGATTATCTTCCTCATTGAATTTCCTATTCATAAAGCAGAGAAATACATGTTTTAAGTCAAACTTGTTCTTTTTCTTGTGCTTTTGTCAGTGGGGTCTAAGTTGAACTTTACCTTGTCTTATAGCAAAAGTATGTTGAGCATTTTCTCTATGTCTTTTACTGTGTTGAGTACTATGGAACATGAAAAGAAACCTAGGGAGAGGTTCTTCATATGTGGCTTAATTGAGTACAGTTGACCCTTGAACAATGTGAGTGTTAACTGTGCAGACCCACTTATACACCGATTTTTCCCCAGTTGACTCATGCAGTTCATTTGACCGAGGCAGTTCAAATCCAGATTGTTCAAGGGTCATCTGGTGGTTGGGAATCCACACGTGTGGAGGACAGACTTAAGTTATTGGCGAATTTTTGCACTGATGGTTGGCATCTCTAACTTCTGTGTTATTCAAGGGTCACCTGTATTTTTTTTATTTCTGTTGTATTTATTACGTAGTATTTACCAACTCTTAGAAACAGAATTTTATCCGAAAGGAACTTAGCTTTTCTAATTTGTTGCATAACTCAGAAATTGATGCTGATTTAATTATTTGCCTAGAGTTCGTAGCAGAACCAAGTGGCCCATAGTTCTGCCTTCAATATTTTGTGTCCTTGTTCCATCCTAGTCCCCTTATCTATCCTTACAACCCCAACCCCAAATTAAAAGTAGGCAATTGTAGTAGTTCAATTATTATCACTTCAATATGGGTCTGGGACGATCAATGTGGACATATCTGTGGTCTTTAAAAATAATCTCTGGATATCTTTTAGAGCTGGCTATTAGTATTAAATAACATAGAAAACTAGTGACTGTTCTTTTTTATGGAATTGGTAATACACTGAACTGGGAATTCTGGATTTGGAGTCAGAAAACTTGGATTTGATATCTTCATTCTGGTATTTACTAGTTATAGAGTTATGGGTTTAACTTTAGCCTTTTTCCCGAGACTGTTTCTTATATCCAAAATGAATGTGAAAATACTTGATTTATGAACAAATAAGGTAATTGTGAGAACCAAATCTGGTAGCTTTGTGTATGTGTATACAATAATGTATGTGAAAGCCCTTTGTAAACTTTTGGGCAGTACAGTAGTCCCCCCTTATTCTAAGACCCCCAGGGGATGTCTGAAACCACAGATAGTATAGAACCCTATATATACTGTTTTTTCCCTATGCTATATACACACCTATGATAAAGTTTATAAATAAGGCACGGTATGATATTAACTATAATAATAAATCTATAATAATAAAAGCATAATATGCTAATTAGACTGGACGTCCTTCTGGACATCCTTCCAGATGTCATTCCGATGACCTTCCGGACAAAGTCGGGGCTGCGCGGGAAGCTTGGGTCCCAGGTGTGCTGGCGGCCAGAGGGAAGCCCGGGTCCCAGGTGCCAGAGGGAAGCCAGTGCCGGCAGCCGGGGAAAGGAAGGCCTACTCTGGCACGAATTTCGTGCATCGGGCCATTAATATCCTATATAATAAAAGGCTAATAGGCAAATAGACTGAGCAGCGGAACAACCGGTCGCTATGATGTGCGCTGACCACCAGGGGCTCATGCGGAACGTGGCGGGTGTTGGCCACGGCGTGGTGGTGGAGCAGGTTAGTGGAGGTGCCAGACCAAGGCGGAGCACCGATCGCTGTCATCAGGGTGAGCCTCTGGTGGTTACTGAAAATTCTTTGTTCCCACGTACAGCGGTCCTGCCAGGCACTCACACCTGCTGCTGGCGCCGGCCCTGCTTGCACCCACAGCCGGCGCCAGAGCCACTGCTCACATCCACTGCTGGTGCCCGGCGCTGGTCCCGATCACTCAGCGCCATCAGTGCGTGCGAGTGGCGGCTGCCAGCCCTGATCTCCCCTGAGGGCTTCTCCATCTCCCCCTTCTCCTGAGGGGTGATAGGAGCAGCAGCCACCCCTCACACCCGCTGATGGTGCCGGCCCTGTTTGCACCCGCTGCTGGCACTGGCCACAATTGCTCTGCACCACTGTCAGCGGGTGCGAGCAGGGCCAGCGCCACCATCAGCGCATGGGACCGGTGGCAGCAGAAGCGGGGCTGCCAGCAGACAGGGGACCGGGGGACGCGGTGGGAGGGGCTGGGCAGGGGCACGGAGGATGGGCCGGAGGATGGGCCGAGACCCACCCCTGTACCTACCGCAGCCTCTCGGCCCCCCACAGTTCCTTTCAAGGTGCATGAATTCGTGCACTGGGCCTCTAGTACTATAGTAAGAGATATGTGAATGTGGTCTCTCAAGATGATACAGTGCCTACATGATGAAGTGAGTTAGATATGCTGAATGAAGGGGATGATTCAGGTCAGGGGTAGGACTGAGTGTAATGATGCAAGATTTCTGGCACAGTTCAGAACAGCATGCAATTTAAAACTTGGGAATTATTTCTGGAATTTCCATTTAAAGTTTTTTTTAACCACGGTTGTCTGCTGGTATCTGAAACCGTGGATAAAGGAGGGACTATTGTATACAAATGTTACTGAAGATATGATATTTTTCCAGAGAGGTAATTTTTTTTAGTTCCTCCCTTATGTGACTCTGATGAGGGGAAAAAAGGTACATTAAAAAAGAACTGTTGGTTTTGCTATAAGTTAACACACTTGGTATTCCAAATTAGGACTTGCAAGGATATAATTTTCTGAGAGTGTGTGAAATACTTTAAACCAGCCTTCCATATTGATCCCCCCCAATTATATGTAGAACTTTATACTTGGCACCACCTAAAGTAAGAGGCATGTTTCAGAAAGCTGCACCCAAGCTTCTCAACTATTGATGTGAAATGGTTATATGTGTGATTATTGGTCTCCATAAGGTTTGAGTATATATTTGTGAAACATTCATATAGTGCTACTTTCTTGTGGCTGGAATGGTTCATAATAGGTCATTCTTTGAGTCTTTCTTTGTCTTTGGTAGTAATTTCCTTTCCCTATTTGAACATTTTTGGGAAGCTCGCCAGTTTTTCAAATAAGCTAGTTCCATTTGTAAATAACCTCTAATTGTTAACTCTTTATGTTGAGCTGAAGCCAGTTTCCGTTCACTTCTAGCTCTTATTCCTCTGCCTTTTGGAGCTTCCTGAATGAGATTAATTTCTTTTCTGTTGGCACCTGCCTTTATTTTATTTTATTTTATTTTATTTTATTGCCCTTTATTTTTATTTTGTAATCTTTATTTTTTTAAAAAATTATTTTTTAATTACATTTGACATATAATGTATTATATTAGTTTCAGGTGTACAACCCAGTGATTACACATAATTTACTAAGTGATTATCTGGATAAATCTTGTACCCATCTTATACCATAGTTACTAGAATATTATTGATTATATCCTTTTTGCTGTACTTTACATCCCCATGACTATTCTTAACTATCAATTTGTACTTCCTAATAATCCCTTCCCCTTTTTGACCCATCCCCCAACCCCCCTCCCATCTGGCAAACATCAAAATGTTTTGTCTATGAGTCTGTTTCTGCTCTGCTTGTTTATTTTGTTTTTTAGATGTTGACAAATATCTATTTATTGCCATTTTATTGTTCATATTTTTAATCTTTTTTTTCTTCTCTTTTTAAAAGAAGATCCTTTAACATTTCATGCAATACTGGTTTGGTGGTGATGAACTTTAGCTTTTTCTTGTCTGGGATGCCCTTTATTCTTTGATTCTCAATGGTAGCTTTACTGGGTAGAGTAATACTGGTTGTAGGTCCTTCCTTTTCATCACTTTGAATATTTCTTGCCAATCCCTTCTGGCTTGGAAAGTTTCTTTTGAAAAACCAGCAGATATTCTTATGGGAGCTCCCTTGTAGTTATCTGCTTTTTTCTTGCTGCTTTTTTATTGAATTCAGAGGAAGGAAGAGGGAGAGAGATACAGAGACATCAATGATGTGAGATAATTAATTGACTGCCTCCTGCATCCCCTACTGGTGATCAAGCCCACAACCTGGGCATGTGCCCTGAACGGGAATCAAACGTGACCTCCTGGTTCATAGGTCGTGCTCAACCACTGAGCCACACCAGTTGGACTTTTCTTCCTTCTTTTAAGATTCTCTTTGTCTTTAACCTTTTGTATTTTAATTATGTGTCTTGGTATGAGGCTCTTTGGGTTCATCTTGTTTGGGACTTTCTGTACTTCCTGGATTTGTATGTCTATTTCCTTCACCAGGTTAGGGAAATTTTCTGTCATCATGTTTTCAAATAGGTTTTCAATTTCTTGCTCTCTCTCTTCTCCTTCCGGCACCCCCATGATGCAAATGTTGGTATGCTTGAAGTTGTTCAGAGGCTCCTTACACTATCTTTTTTCTTTTTATTCTTCGGATTGGGTGTTTTCTTGAGAGTTTTTTTGTTGTTGTTTGTTTGTTTTTTGCTTTTATTCCAAATCACTGATTTGATTCTTGGCTACATCTATTTTACTATTGATTCCTTGTAAATTATTCATTTCAATTAGTATATTCTTTTTTATGGTTTCCATGTCTTTTTATGTTCTCACTAAGTTCATCTATTTTTTCTCTAAGTTCACTGAGCATTCTTATAACCAGTGTTTTGAATTCTGCGTCTAATAGATTGCTTGTCTCCATTTTGTTTAATTGGTTTTCTGCATTTTTGTTTTGTTCTTTCATTTGGAACATGTTTCTTCTCATTTTGGCAGAGTTCCCCACCCCCCATGTTTGTTTCTATGTATTAGGTAGAGCTGCTAGGTCTCCCAGGCTTGATAGAGTGGCTTAATGTAGTAGGTGTGCTGTAGAGTCCAGTGGCACTCCAAGTGCACCCCTTGTGTGGGCTATGTACACCCTCTTGTAGTTGAGCCTTGATTGCTATTGGCATGTCAGTGGGAGGGATTTACTCATGGGCTTACTGGCTACAAGGACAGGCTGTGAATACATGGTGGAGGGTCAGCTGTGCAGGAGTCCACCTTATGGAGTAGGATTTACTTCCGATGCTGCTGAGTCTGCCTCTTGAGTGCGTCACTTGTGGAGGTGGTTGGGTAGTGCTTCATTGTGATCTACAGCTGTTCATGGGTGCCTCCTGGGAGGTGCAGGCCAATGTCAGTCGCCACTTATGTTCTGTCCAGTGCCTCCTGACATGAGCTACAAAATGACCTGTAGATGACTGCTGCTTGTGCTGGTCTTAGAAATGCTCAGGAGAGACCCAGCTGCTGCCACTGGTATTGGGCCTGGGGCCACTTAGCAAGAGGTATGAAGCATGTTGAGGCCAGATGCTGCTTGTTTAAAAGGTTTTAGGAAAGCCTGAAGCATGAGCCAAGACAGGCCATTCCTATGGGAAAGTCACTGGAAACAGCTTGAGTGGGCCTGCAGGTTGGGTGGGGCAGAGTCTCAGGGAATCATGGGGCCTGGGGACCGAGAAGACAGTGACAGCCAGGTTGATGGAGACTCAGATATGGCACCTGTCTGACATCTCTGTGCAGGGAGAGCTAAGCAAAGGAAAAATAGCCTCTGCCAGCACTTCTGTCTGGGAGAAAGCTGCCCCTCTAGCTCTCGACCTGATGCCAGACAATTCAGTTCCTCCTTGTATATCCCTGGAGCCTTTCAAGCTCTGCCCCAGCGCTGGAGCTCAGAGCAAGTGAGTCAGAGTAAGTCCATGCTTGGGCCCTTTATTAGGAACTGCCTAGGCCCGGCTGGTGTGGTTCAGTGGTTGAGCATTGATCTATGAACCAGGAGGTCACGGTTCGATTCCTGGTCAGGACACATGCCTGAGTTATGGGCTCAATCCCCAGTAGAGGTTGTGCAGGACCCAGCAGATTAATGATTTTCTCTCATCAATGTTTCTATCTCCCTCTCTGAAATAAATAAAAATATATTAAAAAAAGAAAAAAGGAGTTGCCTGGGATTCTAGCAGTCCTCTGTTTCACTCAGCCACAATCCCTTCCGGTTTTTATAGCCAGAAGTTTTGGCAATTTCTCTTCCTGGCACTGGAACCCTGGGTTGGGGGGCCTGGTGTGGGGCTGGTATCCCTTTCTCCTCAGGTGTGTTGGACCAGCCCAACCCTTTCTGTGTCTCCATCCCTCCTATCAGTGTTGATGTGGCTTCTTTATATCCTTAGTTGTAGGACTTCTATATTTCAGGTGGTTTTGAATGGTGGTTGTTCTGTAGTTTAGTTGTAATTTTGAGGTGGTTGTGGGAGGGTGTCAGTACTGCCCAGCTTGCCTTTTGTGTTGATCTTATCACAATCTCTACATCTGAAGTCAGTGTTTCCTTTCTGGAATCATGTTTTCAGAATCTTTTACAATTTGAGTTACTTTTGCATTTTATAAGTGCCTTTTATTAAGATGGACTCCTGAAATAAAGTACGATACATAATTTAGCCAGTGTGGACTATATGAGGTAAATCCTCCCTTAATTTGGACTCTGAATTTATTTATTTTTTTCCCCTCTTGGATGACAGGGACTCATGGCCTTTTCTCATCACTAATCCATTCAAGGATGGGGGGGGAAGCACCTGAATTTAACAACATTTGCTATCTCAGTTAAATTACCTACTAGTTTGGATTTTATCGCTTTGGGTTTGTAACTTTTTAGAAAGTCTTATACTTCATGACTATAGCTTTTAAATCTGAATGCTAGATTTTACTTTTATTTGCTTTTTAAAATATATTTGTATCGATTTCAGAGAGGAAGGGAAAGGGAGAGATAAAAACATCAATGATGAGAGAATCATTGGTTGGCTGCCTCCTGCATGCCCCACGCTGGGGATCAAGCCTGAAACCAGGTATATTCCCTGACTGGAATCAAACTGTGACCTCCTGACGCTCAATCACTGAGCCATTTCGGCTGGGCAGATTTTACTTTAAACCCATTACATTTCATCTTGCAAGGCTTGAATTATCCTTCCAAGTTTTCTGGGTCTTTCAAAATCATTATGTTGATCTATATTTTAATTATCCTTTCAGCTTTTCCTTTTTAAGTGTGCCCTCTGGGTCTTTCTCAGAATTAGTGATTACAAAACATTCAGTAGGGCAGGGCAGGTATGGGATCCAGACCCACAGCATGAAGGCATCCTTCTGTGATTGTTCATTGATGACTCATTTATAGACATGCTTATGTTACGCCAGGCAATCCCAAGAGGTTCTAGGTTACAGAGAGAAATTATTAACATAGCCCCGTGGTCGGCAAACTGTGGCTCACGAGCCACATGCGGCTTTTTGGCCCCTTCGTGTGGCTCTTCCACAAAATACCACGTGCAGGCGCGCACCTACAGTGCGATTGAAACTTCGTGGTCCATACGCATTAGTCGGTTTTTGGCCTGGGCAAGTCTATTTTGAAGAAGTACTGTTGATATTTGGCTTTGGCTCTGTTGACTAATGAGTTTGCCGACCACTGACATAGCTTCATAGACAGGAGGAGAGATCCCATTTCAGTGGGACAAACATGGGAAAGTCAGTAAACCTGTGATTAGGAGGGGTAATGAGGATTATATACAAAGGGTGATCAATTACAGAGGAAGGTACTATTAGGATGTAGTCAGGAGTTTTCATAGTGGCAAGGAGACATCAGAAAGTTTACTCTTTGGATGCCTTGCTTAATCAGTTACAATTCTTTGTTAACATTTATGCATTAACAATTTCTTCCTTGTGCTATCTTTGTGCAAGGGGTTGGTGGGTGGATAAGGGAAGGAAGAACTTTCTTCTGTATATAATCCTTATTACCCCTCACAGAGTAATTGGTTTTCTCGTTTGCCTTTCCCACTTAAATGAGATATCCTGTAGCGCTGTTTCATTCATCTCTGTAACCTTGAATCTAAGTGCCTGGTGTAGTGTAAGCATTTTCATAATATTTTACTGAGCAGATCTAAAGTCTTTTGGGCTCTCAGGCCAGTACTTTGAACAAAAAAAAAAAAGAATGAAGCTGTTGTGACTTGTTTTCATTTGTTTTAGATAAATGATGTTAACTTTATTTGATTCATTAACTTTTCCCCTGGAGCAGTGGTCGGCAAACTGCGGCTTGCGAGCCACATGCGACTCTTTGGCCCCTTCAGTGTGGCTCTTCCACAAAATACCGACTTCTGTGCATGGACCACGAAGTTTCAATCACACTGTAGGTGCGCGCCCGCACGTGGTATTTTGTGGAAGAGCCACTCTCAAGGGGCCAAAGAGCCACATGTGGCTCGCGAGCCGCGGTTTGCCGACCACGGCCCTGGAGTATGTTAAATTACAGACATTATATTTTACTCCAAGCATAGGTTGGTATGCATATCTATTTTCCTATGTAAACATTTATCACATCTAGCAAAACTGACACTAAGGCCTCAATATTATCTAATATCCTGTCTGTATTAAAATTTCCCCCCAATTTGAATTTAACAGCTCTTTGTCCGCTGGAAAAGAAAGTGATTTCACTGAGTGCTCCTGAAGCAGTTTTTTTTTTTTTTTAATTTTGCCATTTAAAACAAAGAGGATCAATGCCAAGTTCACAGATATACTCCAGAACTTTATAATCTCCTCCCTATAAAGGCTATTGCATCTTTTTTTTTTAAAATATATTTTATTGATTTTTTACAGAGAGGAAGGGAGAGGGATAGAGAGTTAGAAACATCGATGAGAGAGAAACATCGATCAGCTGCCTCCTGCACACCCCCTACTGGGGATGTGCCCGCAACCAAGGTACATGCCCTTGACCGGAATTGAACCCGGGACCCTTCAGTCCGCAGGCCGACGCTCTATCCACTGAGCCAAACCAGTCAGGCAAGGCTATTGCATCTTGATCTTCACTTGTCTTAAACTTCAAGTCCATTTATTTTTACAGTAACTATAAGTTTCCTTTCAGTTTTTTTAGACCCAGAATTTTAATATAGTAATTTAAATGAGTATTTGTTTTTGGTGTTTAAGTTTAAATGGTGAAGTGTGGCAAATTGCTTTTAAAATGAATTTTATGAAAGTATTTTGAATCATCATCTTTACATTGTTTTCCCTAGGATTAAGATAATACTTTCCAGAGATGGTTAAAGTGCTATTTTGACTGGTAGTTATCTTAATTAGATCCTTTCAGTGCATTCCATGATGCTAAAACATGCTAGCAAATGGTATTGTCTTATGTGTGAGTGTTAAAGGGGTGTAAGGGCAGTAGCCTTCCTAATCAAGTCAACCTGTTTATGCAATCATTCCGAATGTTTTGCACAATTCTAAGAATGGTAGTGAGTATGAAAAGTATGACGTAGTTCCTAATCTCAAAGAGCTGTGTAATATTGGTAGCATAACATAAGCTAAATTGTAGGCACTAGCTTCTTTTCTGGACCTTCAGGTAGTTGGCAGTTATCATGCAATTTAGTAGTGTGAGCACTGAGGGCTAATGTTTCCATATCAAATCCTGGTCGTTTCTGTATACACATGTAAACAAACTAAACTGTTCCCCCTCCTCCTGCCCCTTACCCCAACTCTAACTTAATGGAATTGTTTGGATTTCTTGATTATTTTATAATAGTGGGACACAGCAGGCCAAGAAAGATTTCGAACAATCACCTCCAGTTACTACAGAGGAGCCCATGGCATCATAGTTGTGTATGATGTGACAGATCAGGTAAGTTCCAGGAGGAAATTGTGTTACAGCGACCAAGTAGGAAGTTACTATTTGATAAATAGCCACCCATTTTATTTATATGGACAAAAACTTTGTCCACTTCCAAATAAGTGAATCACATAAACATTATTTGGGCATCTAATGAATTGATTAGCTAAAATGTCATATTATTTTCCTTAAGTAAATAGAAAATTTAGTATTTGGTTTTACATTTGCTTTCATGGACCTTGGTTATATTTATTATCAACTAAAAAACTGATCGTTTTGGCAAGAGTTTATAGTGAGCTGTAGTTATTTGGCTTATACCATGTTCTTGGTATTAAATATTAACGAATTTGCCTAGTAGTTAGACTTGTCAGAATTGCCAAAAAACAAGATTATGAGTCTGCCTGTGGAGGATATTCTCGATAGGTTGACCTAGAGGAAGATAAAGAATATCTGAAGATTAGCTTTTAGAGAAGGGGTGGTGGGGATATAGGGATAGCGTGAAGAATGTACTAGTAGTCCAAAGACCATAAGAATTGATCAGAAAATTAGAAAATTTCAAGTTTTTTTCTATCAAAGAATAAAAGATAAGTGTTTAGAACTTATTTTTCTTGTAGCAAATGTTAAGTGTCACTTCAACTATGATATAGCTAATTAAGAGATAACTGGAATCATAATACTTTAGATTCAATGCCTTGAGAAGTATTGGGTGAGTGATACAACAGGAGAAAAATGACGCTAATTTCAAATCTCATGTCATTACCATGAAATACTTAAAAATAAAAAATTTCTTCTCATTAATATGATTGTGGTAAAAAAAAACACCCCCCCAAGCATCTTTGGACCCATTTATTTAATATCTTTTGTCTCTAGTAGTAACAATCTATTCATAAACCAAAATAATCAAATTTCAATTCAAATTTATCAAATTTGCTTGAGCTATAGTTTGATGCTGAGCTGTATTTCTCTGTCAAATAAGGTATTTTTATCCTCAAGCCTTCAAATTCTAATTTATTTAGGTAAGGATAGTCATTGTAATATTATCAGTTTACTTCTAAGCCAGCACTATAGTAATTATCTTATAGCTAGAGTTGCTTCATTAACTCTTCTTAGGTTAAGAAAACACTTTTATCACTTGCTTCATTAGAACAGTTGTTATATTATAGAACAGAGCTATATTATCATCCTTAAAAATGTCTGTCTTCTTAGGAGTCCTTCAATAATGTTAAACAGTGGCTGCAGGAAATAGATCGTTATGCCAGTGAAAACGTCAACAAGTTGTTGGTAGGGAACAAATGTGATCTGACCACAAAGAAAGTAGTAGACTACACAACAGCAAAGGTATGTTTAAAGTTGATTTTCAAACTGAATTTGAAGGCACTGAATTTGAATTATGTAGTGGGGAGTCATGCAATGATCACAACCACCTTTTGCTTTTAAAATGTGCACTATAATACTTTGAAATGACAATTTTTTTATGGTGTCTGTTTGGATTCAGTGAACTTAGTCTTTCCTCACTGCGCATTTTAGACAGAAATGCACTAAAAGTGAAAAAGATTTTTTCAGTGTTAATTGTGCTTTATTATTCTCTTAGGAATTTGCTGATTCCCTTGGAATTCCATTTTTGGAAACCAGTGCTAAGAATGCAACGAATGTAGAACAGTCTTTCATGACAATGGCAGCTGAGATTAAAAAGCGGATGGGTCCTGGAGCAACAGCTGGTGGTGCAGAGAAGTCCAATGTTAAAATTCAGAGCACTCCGGTCAAGCAGTCAGGTGGAGGTTGCTGCTAAAATTTGCCTCCGTCTTTTTCTCACAGCAATGAATTTGCAATCTGAACCCAAGTGAAAAAACAAAATTGCCTGAATTGTACTGTATGTAGCTGCACTACAACAGATTCTTACCGTCTCCACAAAGGTCAGAGATTGTACATGGTCAATACTGACTTTTTTTTTATTCCCTTGACTCAAGACAGCTAACTTCATTTTCAGAACTGTTTTAAACCTTTGTGTGCTGGTTTATAAAATAATGTGTGTAATCCTTGTTGCTTTCCTGATACCAGACTGTTTCCCGTGGTTGGTTAGAATATATTTTGTTTTGATGTTTATATTGGCATGTTTAGATGTCAGGTTTAGTCTTCTGAAGATGAAGTTCAGCCATTTTGTATCAAACAGCACAACCAGTGTCTGTCACTTTCCATGCATAAAGTTTAGTGAGATGTTATATGTAAGATCTGATTTGCTAGTTCTTCCTTGTAGAGTTATAAACGGAAAGATTACACTATCTGATTAATAGTTTCTTCATACTCTGCATATAATTTGTGGCTGCAGAATATTGTAATTTGTTGCACACTATGTAACAAAACAACTGAAGATATGTTTAATAAATATTGTACTTATTGGAAATAATATCCAACCGAATGGTGATAAGTATTGTTTTAATTCTTATGGTTAAAGGGAAAGAGAGCCTTGCATTATTCCTAAAACATCCATTTGTGTGTGCAACCAGGGCATTGTAGACCTACCTTAGAGCAGCATCCATTATGCTTTCCAGATAATATACCTAATAAATGACCTAGGGAAGCTTTCTGCTGGGTAGGATTTTACCCAAGCTTAGTGGTTCAGGGAGATTAAATTGTATGCAAAACAAGTTTAGGATGTATGCTATATAGTCTGTTATTTTCGATCCTTCTCTAAAACCATCTGAAATGGCTTCATTAATCAATACTTTAATTCTTTTATGTGCTCAAGGTGCAAAGTATCACCTTTCCTTAATTGGCAAATGATCAGACTAACGCATGTGCTAATATTTCTTCCGTGCTCGGGGTCAGATGACAACTATTTTATCCTCCACAATTGTGTAACAGGTTGGAGGAGAGGTAAAGCATTAAAGTAGAAAGAAGGAAAATTTTACTATTTGATTGCCCTAATTTTAGAAATGTCCCTAATAATTAATTGAAAACATGAACGTTAGATGGGAATAAGTGAGAGAAATATATTTATTTCCATGGAATTTTGCACATGTGAAAATTTTGTTAAATAGGACCTTAAAGATTCTAGGGTTTGTTTTTATTGTGAGAAACAAAAATCTTTTGCTAATACTGGCATTTTAAGGTAATAGAAATCAAAGACTGTTTTCCTTGGGGTTGAAGGTAGCCGCCAAAATATTCTTTACTTAGGGGCTTGGGATGTGGTTGTTGGCAACATATTTTATGGTGGGGTCTTGAATTCAGTGATAAAATTTAAATTAAAAACAAGCCAAAAACTAAAGGTTTTTATTTTTATTTTCACTAAACAGGCAATTGAAACACATGGTACAAAAATAAGTGGTAAGATTATTGTAAAATGAAATGGACAGAATATTCCATTTAATTTTCCATCTATGAGAATTTCACAATAAAATCATAGTTTTACTTTGTATTATAGATGTGCTTGTTGGATCTATTCATCCTCTCATAAGGCAACTGAACTCAAATTACCAAATTGTTATTTGGGTGAAGATTTTTTAAAAAATGTTTCAAAAGGTGTTTGGTTTTTTTTTGCTTTACAATACGGTATAAAGGGGGAAATAATTCAGAAACTATCTTCCAAAGTAATAAACGATACAAATGTTAGTGTGACAACGTGCACTTCAGTTTTATACAGCAAGTTGTTCAAACTGTCAGTTTATTCTTGGTGAGTTGGCAAAAAACATGATATGAATTTAAGATATAAGCATATTTACATACTTAGTTTTGAAATTTTTAGTGTTTTTTCCCCTATGACAGTCAAGAATGGAATGGAGTGAACCTAAGCAAGATGTTTCAGCATGCTCCATTGTTTGCTTTTATTAATATGCCAATAAATGCAGTCTTGGAAAAAAAATCCCATTCCTACCCCCTTTTCAAGTACACCCATTTCAAGCTACTATGGGCTTTTATCTAGTCACTTGTTGAACTATAAACTGTAAGTGGCTGCCATGAATTAGCTTATGTAAGAGTAAGCTAAATCTAAGCAGTGCAGTCTCTGGGAAATCCTTGCAGAATGATAGCTTTTCTGGTCTAAGCAGTAACTTCCTATTCTTTGACCTTGGATTGAAATTTCCTTCAGCATACATAACATGTTGCCATTGCAGCATATTTTTACATCAACCCTTCTTTATGTTCCCATTTAAGCTTCAGAACAGCCCTGTGTTGTTGATATTGTATTTGATTTGCAGATGAGCTCAGCCATGGAGCTGCAACAAGAACCTAGGTCTTGAAACTAGCAATAGAGTTCTTAGTACTGCCACTTCCCTGTGGACGTAACTTTTACTAATTTAAAGGGACTACTAGGAAATTTTCTAACAGATAAATTTGGGATTTGATAATCACACTTATGCCACCATAGGCCACTATTGTCCTTAAGGCTAATGTGTACCCCTGTGCACTGGCCAGCCAGGCCACTTGAACTGTAACTCAGCCATGTTGACTCATGGAATTGTTGCTGGCATCTTTCTAGGCTGAAACAATTTCAGCTTCAGTTTTAAGGGAGGTCTTCAATTTTTTATAGCACTGTTGAAGATGTAATTAGCCACTGTGTTGATATTCCTTAGTGGCATTCTCAGCTAGGTCTAGAATGAGCATCCTTCAGTCACACTTTATTTCAAAGGGGATGAACAAAAATCTTCTTGAGTTCATCTCTAGGTAAAGTAGTACTTTCTTGGGAAACAGTACTTTGAAATAAAGTACCCTGAAGATTTCTATCATAATTACTAGGTTGAGTCGGAATAGAATGGCATATGCAGTATTCAATTACTATAACTCTAGCCAGTTTGTTTCTATAGGATTGTCATCAATTTTTTTTCTGACCTATAGACTTATTTTCATGCCTATCAAATAGTACTAGTAAATAACTGGGTTGAACTCTTAATGGCTACCCTGTAACATACTCAGTGGAAAGGCATGTACCATTTTATAGCCACATCAAAGGGAAGGTGAAATATAACAATATAAAAACAGGCTATTAGACATATGTGCCTTTTTAACCAGTTCTAGGCTGTTAAAATCTATGTATGGAATCAAGATTAATATGAAGAATCATAATACAGGCAGAATCTTCATACATAGTTTAATTCTGATCATGCCCTTAAACTAAGCTTTATGGTAAATCATACCACAGTAGCAGCAGGCACTTGAAATACTGAATTTTATATAGCTACTATTGAAATTTTGTATCATTTCCCAGTGACTATGCAGTCTGAAATTTTAAAGCAGAAAAAGTTACATTTATAATAGGACTTTAGTTCATATGGATGTGGGTGAGATGGCGTTAAAGATTATGTGGCTCAGCCCCCAAAACTAAAGTCCTAAATTTCCTTTAAAGAAAGTAATTTGGTATTAAATGTTTTGTTCTGAGGGGTATCGGAAGTTTGCTTGTGAGAGTAATTGTTCCATCATCATCTTCTTTTGATTCAAGGTGACTTGTTCATTCTTTACAAACTTAAAAGATCTTCCTTTTTAAAGCACCTTCCTGAAATGAGAATCTGGAAGGAGTTTGAAAAAAGATCTTTAAGTGCTTATCTCATATATTTAAGTATGAAGAACCCTTTCCTTAAATCTTAGCCCACTATAATACTAAGCTTACATGGGGGGAAATGTGCTTTTCTCATTCCATGTTAATTCATAGCCCAATAGAAACGAACTGATTTTTGTTTTTGCATTATCTGTGGTTACCGGCAATGGATGATTGCTTTGCTTTAAAAGCTACAGAATCTATGTTTTAAATGGTTGATCTGTAGATTTAATTCTATCAAGGTACTTACACGTCAACTCCTAAGCAACAAAAAATTCCTTTTTGCCCTTCACTATTTACAGCCTTAGTTTCTGTAGCTAACTAGGCTGTATGATCCTATCCATGCCCTTCCCTTCCCTGACCGTGGACTACTCTTCCACAGGAGAGTAGGATGAGGGGAACATCCTCCTCGAGGTACCCTTAAGATGGCTCATTAGTCCACAGCCTTGCTGTAGCTCAATGGCAATTCCCAATGTCCCCAACACACTGTCCTTTAAGATATTAGTTAGGGAGGCAGATGGACCCCTAAGCCCTGAAGATGACAAAAGGTCTAATCCCCTAACTAATTTGTAGAGGAATCTTCTATGAATTTAGAGAGTTAAAGTCTCTTCTAAAGTCTTCTAAATGGGACTTACAAACCTAAGCTTCATTTTTATGAAAAGACCCAAGTTCCTGACCAACCAACCAATCACTCGAGTCCTCTTGTATGCCTGAGAGTACTGAGTATTTGGTACCTTATTTCTCATACCAGCCTTCTTTACATGATCTCAGTGCATGGACTAGTTTAGGAGCTCTGTCTGCTCTTTTTAACTGGGCAGAAGGGAAGAAAGACCTATAAGACTATTAACATTACTTTATCAAAAGACTGCAAAGCCTCATGCTCTTTGCTGAGAAGCACCAAAGGAACACTTCAGTTTGGAAGTATTCATTTTAAATGAAAATAGTAATTCAATAGCCCCTTATTTCAGGGAAGAGAAAGGCATTTTAAAGCTAGTACATTAGCTTTAAGTTTCCCCCTTGGTTATCAGTGTTAAATGGCTCTTACTTTCTTCCTGAAAGTTTCCCACCAGCCAGGTTTTGGGAGACAGATTACATCTCTGCCTGAGAAGATGCCTGAAAGAGAAAGAGAAGCATTTGTTATAGGCAGAATGCTGCAGAGGGGGGGAAATACAACAAACATTTTAGAACCAAAACGACTTGCTCAATTTCTGATACAAATACATGGACTCCCTGCTCTTGACATACCTGGATTGTATCCTTTACCTAATTTTGTCATAGTTCTAATCTGGAAAATCTGAGTTAGGCACCACATTTTGATTGGAGAGGCAATTGCAGAGATAGTATGGTCCAGTTGTCCCAAAGTGGGTACCAACTCCCTACACTCCCTCAGCCCGTCTCTCCTATCATTCAGTTGGACCTTTCCAGAGATCAAAAGAAAGTTGTACTATTAAGTTTCCAGGCATGTTACCCCCAACTATCCCCTCCTAGCCTTTTGTGGGAAAGGGAGGTGTGGGGAGTTACCAGTAACTGGGTCTATAGGCACTGGGTGCTGTCAGTAGTTGCTTGGAGAAAGAGTATCAAATGAGTTGGTGAGAAGAGCAAGTAGGTATAGGTAAGTTTTGCTGCTGTTGCCCTTGGGTGCTGGTGAAGGGACTGCCATAGAAATGGGAGCATGGCATTCTAGTCCTCACCAGGCAGCACGGGTGAAACAGTAATGGAAAACACAGCAGTGAGCCTTTGTCCCCATAGGAAGACTCACCCCCACCCCCCCGTCCACCCCCCACTTCTTCCTGGCAATGGTAGCATCTCCTCTCCTAGCATCTCATTTTAAAAAAAAATTTTTTTTAGCCTCACCCAAGGACATGTTTCCATTGATATTTTTTAGAAGAAGGGAGAGAGAGAACGTGACAGAGAGGCATCAGTTAGTTGCCTCCTGCACGTGCCTCAGTTGGGGATTGAACCTACAACCTGAGTATGTGCCCTGACTGGGAATTGAATCCACCATCTTTTGGTGTATGGGAGGACGCTCCAACCAACCAAGCTACACCGGCCAGGGAAACATCTTACTTGTTTTAATAGCTCTTGGCTCAAGCTTCTAAGAAACAAGCAAATGTCAGAGCTGTACCCTAATCCAGCACTGGGGTCTGAGGAGGGGTGTTTTCTTGGGTTATTCTACTTACCAGGCTCATCCCAGACACATCAGCACTACTGTGTGCCACTGGTGTGTCATCAGGGATGAGGGTGCAACCAGCCAGCATGTCCACAGAGGCTAAGATTGTGTCATACAGGTGATCTGCGTGGCTCTCCAGCTCGCTGGGCTGCTTTGAGATCCTCCTGAGGACATCCTTTAACACTAACAAAACAATTAGACCAAAGAAATCATGCAAGTTATTTTCAAAAGAACATACAAGGGTGTAGCATTTTTACATAATGGTTTCAGAATGTCTACTCTTAACTGACCAAGAAATACTATTGCACTGGTGGATCTGTTAACTTATGATTAAAGTGAGACAAGAATTTCTCTGGCTCCACTTTGGAATTACGTAATTCATAAAAAAGCAGGCATGGTTCTGTGGTGACTGGTATTATCCGACTTTTAGAGATAAGACTCAGGGCACACCCAGATCATGTGGGGCAGAAGGCTTAAATGAAAAAACAAGCCAGTATTAGGGCTCCTGGTCTTACTACCAGGTCCTATTAGCTTCTGTTGGCTGGGGGACTATCATTTAGCATGTGCATGGGTAGTCTGGTAACATTTGGGGATCCCTGTGAACCCCTTTTTGTGAGTTCTAGAACAGATTTCAAAAAAAAAAATCTAAAATCAAGCAAAGACAAGATGGTTAGCCAGCCCGGCATGGCTCAGTGGTTGAGCGTTGACCTGTGGACCAGGAGGTCATGGTTCAATTCCGTCCTGGCACATGCCCGAGTTGCAGGCTCAATCCCCAGTGTGGAGTGTGCAGGAGGCAGCCGATCAACGATTCTCTCTCATCATTGATGTTTCTATCTCTTTCCCTCCCTTCATCTCTGAAATCAATAAAAAGATATATAAAGTGTTCATTTGAGAAAGGGATGGGCTAGGTTCAGAGTGCATCCCATACAACAAGCTTGTTTTTTTCTTAAAAACCTTTATTTTCTTTGTTAAACAGAAAGCCTGCTCTAGTTTCCTGTGCTTTTATCAGCTGTGTTAACACTCCCTAGTTTCCTGCCTCAGCTGCACATCTGCCAGCAGTGGAAGGGGGAAAGGGGAAGCTGTATCTGCACCGGATGCTGACGGGTGGGCAGAAGCGCAGGCTGGCTGTGTTGAGATCAGCCCCAAGGGAAGCCACATCAGTGCACAGTCATCAGGGCAAAGTGCTGTCCTGACAACTCATGAGAGCTGCGAGGGGAAGGCCTGGCAGAGGAACGCAGCCAGGGTGCACAGTACAGCTCGCCTGTGAGGGCACCTGGGATGGGCTCTCCCCTCCACGTCCACCAGACCTTTGCCCAGTCTCCTGTGTGCTGTCAGTGGAGTTCAGGGGACTTAGATATTTTTGAACTTCTATTTTAGAATGTTAGTTTGGTTGGAGTCAAGTAAAAGGAAAGCTGGGAATAGGAATGAAATATTCCCAGTGAGATCTTATGTTTTAACTAGAGCCCGATGCATGAAATTCGTGCAAGAGTAGGCCTTCCTTCCCCCGGCTGCCGGCACCAGCTTCCCTCTGGCACCCGGGACCCCGGCTTCCCTTGCAGCCCCAGCTTTGTCCGGAAGGACATCCAGTCTAATTAGCATATTACACTTTTATTATTATAGATTTTATAGAGACGTGGTTCAGCTTGAGGCCAATAGGTTCCAGCCATTTGATCCAGTATAATGAGTAGTTTGTTGAGACAGGACTGGAATGAAAACCTGCCAGATTTCTGTGGAGAGGCCTTTGGCAGGAGGCTGAGATCGGGACATTTTGGGGGGAGTTCATCTGGCTTCTCATCCCCAAGGTTATGCTGTGGCAGAGGCTGGGGAGCAGTGTCTGTGCTTGGACTCTTACCGTGTGCCCTGGAGCAGCGATCACCAACCTTTCAGACCTCATGGACCACCAGTGGTCTGTGGACCACCCGGTTGGCGACCACTGCTCTGGAGTACACCTAGCTGGAAAAACCCTGTGAACATCAAGGAGAAATTGTGATTTCCACAAAGCAATCAGGTTCCTGGTGTGCCAAACAGGACGGGGAGGGGCAGTGTGTCAATCTGAAAGAGACTGGATACACAGAGCCTGAAAACTACAGAAATCCCCAAAGCCTCTTATTTTGACAGTAAAACACTCTAGACTCCTTTGAGAGAAAGGCAAAGTGGGATATTTTTATTACAAATTAAGCACTGAGAAGTTTTCTGAATTGTTTTTTAAATGAAGGTCAAAGAACTTGTCGCCTTTAAGAGGCCCATTGTTACATGTGGGCTCTGGGAAGAGTTTCCTGGTATTGAGCTCCTTCCCTTCCTGCTCAGGCCCCTGCCTGCACCTCCAGACACTGACAGCAGCATAGGAGCCAGCATATAAGGGCTGGAGCCAGGCTGCCATTCCTTGTGTGACCAAGGCAAATTCATCACTCCACTGGGATGACAGTAATAATAGTATCCATCTCACAGGGCTGTGATTAAGTGGGGAAAAAAGTGAACTGCTTCAGCAGTGTCTGGCACACAGTGTTCAGTAAAGTGCTGGTGTGATTACAGGTAGCAAAGGAGCTTGGCATACTGAACTTCTGCCCCAATCAAAACCAAAAAAACCCTAGTGCAAGAGAATACCAGAAGAGCCAAAACAACGGCTTCCCAAGGGCTGGGGATTACAGAGGTCTTATATAAGTCACTGGATAAGCACTACCCCTTGGAAATCCCTGCAGTGTCTCCATGGCTCCTTCAGTTCTCAACCCTGGTGATTTTTCTTCCCAGGGGACATTTGGCAATTGTGGAGATACGTTCGGTTGTCATAACTGGAGAGGGGTGCTACTGGCATCTAATGGGTAGAGGCCAGAAATACTGCTAAACAGCTTAGCATGCACAGGACACCACTTTCAAAGAAGTACGTGGCCCAAAATATTGGTAGTGCCGAGGTTGAGAGCAACTGTGCTCTACCACCTCTTAATATGCACCTGCCCACTACTTCTGGTCAGGAAAGGGCAGCCTCAATGCCTCTCAAGCCCGCAGGCCCTGCCCAGCTTTGCTTATACTATTTGCTTCTAGCATAAACACCATCTCCAAATCTGAGGCACAATATAGATGGCCTTTTAGCACTTGGATGTTGAGTCTCAGGAAACTAGGGGCTGCTTTTAGGAACCCATCACTTCATTGCTTTAACCTAGCATTCTCCTACCTCATCCTCCATATCACATCCACCTCCAGCAAGGGTAACACCATCATAAATTCTTGCACCATGCATGCTTTACTGTATTCTTGTGATTTTAACATTTTTCTACCTTGGAAATCCACCCTACAAAAAGGCTTGAGCTTAGTTTGTGTACTACTGTCCGCCCTGTCCCCTGTCCACTTCTTCAGTCTATTCCCTCAGACTAGACTGACTGCTTTTGAATCCTGAAAGAAATTCTTCCTGAAAGCAGATAACCAGAGAGGGTTCTGCCTGCTGGGAAAGGAGAGGAAGCCTCGAGGGCTCCCCATTGTGAACACCCTAGCCAAAAACCAAGGACATCTGGATTAAAACCAGCATTCCCACCCCGGACACCAGGAAAGATGAAAGCAGAAGCAAGAGTGTTGCTCTTACAAGCTTGACACTTGACTTCTACTCGGCTTTCCTCTGTGACTGCCTGCTACATGGTGCAGCTGTGGGGGCAGTGACGATGTGAGGGGCTGACAGTCTTGGGAATCCAAGGCAATGGGTGCATGTGGGAGTGGCTTCGGCACTACTGGCTCCTTACCAGTGTGTGTGTGGAGCCCTGGACTGTTGCTGACAGGCTGGCTAAATTCAAAGCCTCAAGCATCTCACCTGGGGTGTTATCCAACAGGCACTGAAGAAGAATCTCCCCTTCCTCTAAGACATTTTCCGCCAGGGACTGGTGTTCATCTATGTCTTTCTTAAATTGCTTAAAGTATATCAGAAAGAAAAGAAAAAAGCTTCGTTACTTTCATTTTATAGAAGTTATTCAAAATGATCCCTTGTAGGGTAGCTTGAGTCCCCTCTAACCTAGAATGTAAACCCACTGGTCTTCAGGACTCTCCAAGTAAAGAGCGTGAAGCTGAACCACCTCTTTGGAGCCCAAGGTAAATACAGAGGCAATCTTTTTTTTTCTGCTTAAAGTTTGACAAAAGAGTTTTCCCCCTTGGAGCCTGGCTTATCAACAGGGAGTCAGGGCTTCCTTCTTGTGCCACACCTCACAGGGTAGGTTTTCTTTAAATTCACAGGCAATGGGATTCTTAAAAAGTCCTCTATTCTAATGGAACTGGCAAGTAAGAGCCACAAGAGATGCTGTTAAGGTGACCACAGGGACTGCTGCCTCCCGTATCCTCCCTTAATATCCTGTTCTGTGTAGACTTTAGGCATCAAGGAAGCTGAGTCTCCAAAGGAGCTCATCTGTTTCCCCTCACAGGTACCACTCCTTGTCATCGATTGTTTTTGATGCACCTTTAGCCCCTAGATGTAAGAGTCAAAGCCATGACCACTTTTAGTATAGGGTGCAGAATGTGTTTCACATTCTGGTTATAATTTTCCTCTTGGATTTACTATATTCCTGTGTTCAGCCCTAATACTAGGCCCATAATGCTTATTATGTTATTCTTTAGTACTCTCGATGTCTATGTGCTGTCACAAACCCACTGCTATTAAGACAAAGTATGTGAAATAGAGTCCAGTTAAAATATTTGAATACACACCCATAATCATGCATATATTAGGTATGTAACATGGGTCAGAGTAGCTCGTACATGGGGAAGCGGGTGACGGAGTGGTCCCACAGTTGTGTGTATGACACGAGGGCTAGGCTTCACTGACCTGCAGGGATAACTCCCAGCTCAGATCTCACCTCTACCCACAAAGCAAGAATGTTGCTCTGGTTGGCCTGGAACTTGATGCACTGGACAGAATGAGGGACATAATAGAGGGAATGGAGTTGTTTCACTTGGCACCTACTCTGATGGGGGTGGGGCTGAGGCACTCTGGAAAGGCCACCCAGGTAAGTCTAACAAGGATAATTTCCTCTCCCCACAATGATATTGCCCTTGGGCCTCTGAGAGGTGGGCCCAGCACATGGAGGACTCATACTCAGCTTTGCTTAGTGTATTCTAGGCAAGGAACTCTCTGCATAGCAGGCAATAGCATTCCCACTAGGGTAGAGCAGCTGGCCCACCCAGATGAGGCTCCTCCCTTAAATTTTACTTGGCCCCAATTTGGAAAACAAAGGCCCTCCATCCTGCCTGGGTATGGTGGGAACTCTAGGCTCAGCCCAGCCTGGTGTGGCCCTGGCTCAGGAAATCACGGCCTCTTTTGCTGAAGGCAACCGGTCAGGTTATAATGTGGGAGAAATTCAAAGAAAAACCCTTTCAAAACCCTTTCTAGACTAGCATCAGGCTGAGACCACAAACACCCCTGCTCCTTCATTAGAGGTTATAAACATTTGGCCAACCAGACGTGCCAGAAGTCATGGTCAGGTCAGTCAAGGTTAATGTTATGTTTAGGGTAACTGTATAACACTGGGGATGAAGGGGAGCCTATTGATAATTATGCCAGAACAGTAGGCACAAACTCACCTAAATATTTTGACTCAAAGTAGTAATCAGAACCACCATTACAGAGATTTTTGAAATTAAAAAACCTCAGTTTTTTTTAGAGGCAAAACTCCCCAAAACAAAACACACTGAGAAGCAAATAGAGCTGTGTCTTTGTATAAATACCATCAAAATGCCCTGGATATGTTCTGGAGTCAGTATAATTTCAGCTTAAACACTTAAGTATCAGTCAGTGCTATCCAACAGAACTCTGTGGTGATGGAAACGTTCTACCTGCACTGCAGCCCCTGGGTCAGTGGTTCTCAACCTTCTGGCCCTCTAAATACAGTTCCTCATGTTGTGACCCAACCATAAAATTATTTTCGTTGCTACTTCATAACTGTAATGTTGCTACTGTTATGAATCGTAATGTAAATATCTGATATGCAGGATGGTCTTAGGCGACCCCTGTGAAAGGGTCATTCGACCGCCAAAGGGGTCTCGACCCACAGGTTGAGAACCGCTGCCCACGATGAATGTGTGACTAAACCCTTGGAAGGTGGTTATTGCAACTGAGAAATCTGGATTTTTAATTTTAAATAGCCATATGTGCCTAGAGACTCCATAATAGTACAGATGTGTGCGTCTCAATCCCTGAGATATTTGGAAAATTACATTGGAAATCACCCTTAAGTATTTTTGATTGAGGATAAATGTATTTTCTCTATTTGGCTTAGGAAATAACTGATACATTTTAGTTTTTTGGCATTAAGAATTTGAAAAGGACCTATGATTCGTTTTCAGGTAAAAGTCAACTGAGCCACAACATGCTATTTAAGCTTTTACTTTGTAATCAAATGACTTAGCCCCCTCTCATGAGTATTACCCGGTAAAGCTGCAGAGAAGACTTGAGACTTGTAAGGCTGGACTTGGGTGGAGTCAAGTGGTCGGTAACATCTGCTATGTTATACAGCCAGTGGATCAGCTCGTCTAGCTGACAGCAAAATGTCTGTGTAGACAAATAAAAGACACATGCTGTTTACATTTTCAAAAGGCTAAAAATATCCAGGGGATTCCGATGGACTGTGCACCGGTCCAGAGCATTCCTTCACTTGAGGCTTTGGTCTCTTGTCCTCCCCTGCCTGTCCGCATCCCATGACTCCAGACCTCTGCCAGGGCAACAGAACAGCCCACCTTGGTTCTGTCTCCCCTCAGCCTGATATGACACAAAAATGACAGACTCAGAAAAGCCAGCCCTGCATGCGAACAGAGCAGGGGTGAGGGCAGGGATGGGACACAGCACAGAAGAGGTATGCCTGCCACAGAAACCAGTTCCTAGCTCAGCACCACTAACTATCGGACTGTTCCTGGGGAAAATGTGGACATAAATGACTGGTTATGACTCACCTGAATGTCCGGCTGAGAACTGACAACGCACGCCCATTCTGCTTCCACACTGCTCAGGGAGTAGGGGCCCTAGAATCCTGCCAGCTACTCGCCCTGGGGAAGCTGTGAGCCAAGCACTTTACCTCATCATTTCTCTATCTTTTACCACAAAGGAGGGTACATGCTAACATTTCTCCCACCTGCTTTACAGTACAGATGAAATCATGCACGGGACATCTTGGGCAGGTTATTGCCCGCCTCCAGTGCTAGGAACCATCTCATGGGTACACGGCCCTCTGGCCGGCCACCCTGCTGTGGTGCAGATGGGGTGTCCACGTGCTCACCTGGGGCTCTCCCAGTGTGCGTGCAGAGAGCCACATTTCTGAACATACCTGTGTCAGGACTACGCAAGGCCCACCCTCCCTCAACACGAATTATTTCATTTAATCCACACAACACCCTGAAGTGTCACATCTCATTTTAGAAAAGCAAACTCAAGAGATTGAGCTGAATTCCTAAGACAGCAGTGCCATGATTCAAATTCAGATCAGCTAACAACCTTGTTCCCTGTAATAGTCATTATATCCAGACATTCTTGGTTGGTCCATGAGAGGTTCAGTGGCCAAGCAGTTGAGGAAACGGTACATCTAATAGCCCCTAACTCTGCAGTTACACCACTTTATTAAGTTGAAGCTCTGAGAAGGCCTGCAGTCAAGAGAGCACTTACTTGTGCAGAGTACCTCTTGATCTTCAAGGTCAAGAGCTTTGGGAAGCAGCTTGGGGTAGTAGTCAAGATCTCAGGCTCCAGCCCTTGCTAACTGTAAGTGGGCAGGTTGCCTAACCCTTTGCTGCCATTTTCTCTGTGAAGTGAGAACAACAGTCCTTATTGGGTAGCGAGTTGTGAGGATTAAATAGGATAAGGTACAGTACAGTGCCTGGCACATGAAGTGTGCTCAGTGTTTCTAAGTTTTGTTATTAAATCAGTGGGCAGGGGGAAGAAATGAGACACCTTTACACAAGCCTCTTAATGTTGAGTTTACCTTCACACAGTGCATGAGTGATTCTTTTCCCTGCTCTCTTCCTCTCCTGGGAGGCTGCCCTTTGAGGTCTGGGTCCAAGAATGTCTGCTGGTCCAAAATAACTGGGAAGGAGGAGCGTGTTCTCAGAGGTCCACAGGAGACCCCCAGTGCCTGGCTGCTCACCAGACTGCCGTCCCCTGCAGAGTCCCTTGCATGGAGAAAGGAGCGGAGCAAACAGTGGTTCTGCTCCTCAAGTCCCCCAGGCCCTCTGGGGACAGCCCCAGAGGGAAGCTGGCTTTGGCTGGAATCCGATGGGAAGGAAGTGGGCCCATCACTGTTCGACACATCCAGGGAGCTCTGCCCTTCAGCAGCTCTGGTGGGCAGGGTCACCAAAGTGGGAACAGAACCTAGATATGAAACCAAGCTAGAAACCTGTGTCAGCCGAGTGGGCAGGGCAAGATACTCGTCATCACTTTCTAAGTCCTCTTCTGGTTTCCATCCAGACTCCATGCAGGCAGGGCGCTGGACACCTTGGCCAGCCCCCTTCTCTCTTTCTGGCCCGGATGAGGGCCATCCTCTGTCCCATGTCCTCAGTTGGGGAGGGCCCACCTCGAGGTGCTTGCCCGCGGTCCGCCAGTCCTTCATACCCCTCAGGGCTGGGTCTCTCCTTTCCCAAGTAGTATCCTTGCTGCCTGCGGCTCTGGGAGTAGATGTGAGCTGGCTACAAGATGCCAGCCCCACGCTGCCCTGCTCCTGGGGTACTCCAGAGTGCCACCGTCTAAAGCTTGGTTCTCTGGGCCCAGAGAATGGCAGGGCACTGGCATCCGCTGGTGGGCAACTGCGGGAGACATTAGTGGGTGACTTTAGAGTGCTTGCTGGGGAGACAGAAAAGCTATCTAGGTCTACACCTGAGTCCTGCAGGACAGGATCAGCCAGCACGCGGCTTTCCAGATGCCTTGGGAGCCGAGGCCTGGGCCTAAGTGGGTAAGTATAGTCCAGCAGGTCTTCATACTCTTTATTTGGGTTCCACAGGGGGGAGCGGCGGTCAGGGGAAGGCGGCAGGGAATCTGGCAGCACGCAGGCCCAGTACTCGGCTTGGAAGGATAGATGCCTCCTGCGCAGCCCAGGACCATCACCCCCAGAGGACACAGGCTGTGGAGACCACTGGAGCTGAGGCCCTGGTCCCACCATGGAGGGGGCCGACTGGGGGCCAACCAGCTCCAGGGAAGAGACCTTGGCAAGGGAGCAACTCTGAGGCTCCTCCTTCTCTTGGTGTCCTTGGGAACTGCTGCCAGGGGATGAGGCAGACACTCTGCAGCTGGGAAACGGAGGAGCAGTGGCACCTGGGCTCACCGTGGACCTCCACTTTGACGAGAAAGGGAAACCTGAGATGTGAGGCTGTTGGCTGAGGGCCAGCACCCGCGGTGACTCCAGGGGGGATGGGTCATCTTCGGTATCAGCATCATGTCCTGAGCAAAGGGCTGTGGCTCTGGGAACGGTTGTAGCCTGAGGTAGCTCCTCTGAGGCAGAAAGCCTGGTGTCCTCCATCTGCAATGAGAAGAGGGAAGAAAAAGTGGTAAGTAAGCTACATTTCTTTTTTTTAAACATAGATGTATCATAGTTTTACTTATTTCTTTTTAAAAATATATATATTTTATTGAGAGAGAGAGGGTTAGAGAGATAGAAACATGAATGAGAGAAGAACATCACTGATTGGCTGCCTCCTGCACATCCCTACTGGAGATTGAGCCCGCAACCCAGGCATGTGCCCTGACCAGGAATTGAACCTACGACCTCCAGGTTCCTGGATTGATGCTCAACCACTGAACCATGCCAGCTGGGCTACATTTCTTTCTTAGATGATAAATCGGGAGTTTTCTTTGGGGAGCCCAGGTGACATTCAGGAGAGGTCTTGACATGAGTCTGCTACCCGACGCAAGAATCAGAGTGCTGCTAGTGGCAGCATGAGACTCTTCCCCAAGCTGATCCTACCCTCAGCCCTTTCAAGAGTTCTTCCTCCAGACACCCTGCCTGTGAGAACTCCGAGCGCTTTGGCATGCAGAAGCTGGAACACATTGCCTAGCCTTTCAGAAGAGGATAGATGAAGCCTCAATCATTCTGTCACTGACAGGAGACACATCCAAACCCACTCAGCTCAGCTCATATGCCAGTGGTAATAAATAATGGCAAAATGATCATTCGTCTCAGCCTCTTTACTCTGAAATTTTTATCTGCTTGATGAAGAACTTGCCCTGAGGGAGGCCAACAGCATAGTAGTTACAGCCATGGGCTTTGGAACAGATAGACCTGGTGCTAATCCCTAACTGCCACCTTCCAGATGTATAACTTTGAGCCTTGCTTCCCACACCTATAAATTGGGGATAGTAATAGCACCACTTCCTCAGGACATGAGGATTACATGAGCTCGTGTGTGAAAAGCACAGGGTGAGAGCTCAACACAATAGGAGTTACAATAAGCAACAGACTCACATCATGAAACCGCCCAATTGGCTTACTGGTATTTCCTGCCTCACTGAGTCTCTGACTCACAGGTTCCCTGAGCCTCCCACCCCCCTGGCTCCCAGGCAGGTGGGCCCAGCTTGTTTTCTCCCACAGTCACGCTCAGAGGCTCCTCGCAGGATGGGACTCCATAGGGGCAGCATGCAACAGCCAAGGCCACAATGACACTGAAGAGATCAAAGTCATTCCCATGAAAGGGCTTGGCAAGCAGAGCATAATAGGATGTCAGAGCTGGGAGGGATAGGTCACACAGGTCACCTTCCAATTATACGGAGGGCCTGAAAGATTCAGTGATTTGCCCGCGGTCACAGAGGCAGGCAGGACTCCTTCTCCATGTGAATCCCACTAGGCAAGACTGCCCTGCACTCAGGGAGGCCCAAGAAATTTTCCTTGCCCAGCAACAGTGCTGCCCACCACAGGGCAGCTTTGTGAGGTTTCCTGAGTTCCAAGGACATACAGTCTTAAAGCCCTCAGGAGACCACAGCCCTGGGCCCTCCTTCCTCAAGTCTCCTCAGGGCCCCCAAGGCCTTCGGATCACCAAGTCAGAAACAGGACAGGGCTCCCCCATTGAGAGCATTCCTGGCCCACCCCTCTGGGTCACTAGTCTCTTAAGGAACAGGGGATGCTGTGGACAGAGCCCCCTGCTGGCCTCAAGGCCCAATTCTCCAGATGAACCTGTAAAACAGAAATCACCTCCCCCAGGCTCCCCCAATGCCCCATCTTGTACAGGGACTGGGAAAGCATGTAAAATGGTGACAAATGCTGGCACGCACCCCCAAAAGACAGCATTAGGCAAATCTACAGTGCCACTGACCTTAGTAGCTACCTGGCTTCCCACAGAATGCAGATCTGTCCCCACACCGGCAGGAGGAAGCAGGCAACTGAGAGCAGGCTGAGATGCACCAGCCACTGGCTCCCTGCTGGTGTTGCTGGCCTGTGACTGGCAGGCTCCAGAGGGGCAGCAGAGAGGGGCAGGTAGGCCCTCTGTCCCCCACACAGGGGAGGCAGGCCCTCCCTCAGCTTCCAGGCGTGGTGGCTGCTCCCCACTCACAGACCCCGGGGTGTCCGCCTCCTGCTCTCTGCAGCTCCACCGCCCACAGGACGGGGCCTTTGTGTCCAGGGACGCCTCCACCTCTGCCTTTTCTTCTCCCAGGGCCATTGATGCGTCCCTAGGTCCGGGTTCTCTGAAGCCTTCAGCTGCCTATAAAGTGGGAAAGGGAGACAAAAAGATAAATTCTCTACATCTGTGTAAGGCAACCTTGCTTTTTAATTATTAAGAAAAACTTTTTATTTTTGGCCAAAGGAAAACAAACAAATGATGGCTACTTCCTTAGAGAAGAACAGAGGCCCAAGACCAGCGTTTCCTTGGCCCCAAACCCTTCCGAAGGGAAGGCAGGAACACAACATTTTGTCCTCTGCTTTTATGTGGCCTGTGCCAACCCCAGCAATAGGTCCCAGGAGGGTAAATGCAGGCCCAAATCAGAGGCAAGGCTTAGTCCTCACTAAAGTCACCTTTTCGTCCCTGTCCCTTCAGCCCAGCCCCACTGGGTAAGAGGCCTGGCCTGTGCCAGCCCAGCTGCGGATCTGTTGTCGAAACGCCCCTGTCAGCAGGTGGCTCTGGCTTGGCACTGACTGCTCTGCTCTGCAGATCAAGTCAGGGCACGCCCAGGCCTCGGCTGAACCCAGGGTGCTCTCGCAGTGCCCACTCTGCCCTGCAGAGAAGGCAGGACCCTCTCAAAGCACAGAAACTATGCCCCAGGTTGTGGGGCAGGTTGAGAAGAGAGAGATACACAAGGCAGCAGGCAAGGAGGGAAGAAGCAACACATAGGAGGCGGATCTGAAAATAGGTCTGTTGCTGTAAGAGCTTTGGGAACAGAAGGAGACCCCCTCAGACTGTGTGTAGGCTGCTGCTGGGAGCACAACTATGGGAGGACTTGGAAGGGGAACAAGGGACCCTCGAGCACCCAGGATTTCAGCAGCTGCCTGAAGTACAGTGGGCCAACCCCAAAGCCAAAACTTGGACACAAATAGCCTTGTTCCCTCAGAGACCAGGAGGTGAGTGATGGCAAGCAGGTGGGAAGTCTGAGAAAGTGGAGGAAGCTGTGGATGTGGGCTTACCCTGCTCAGCTCACACACCAGGAAACACAACTATGTGAGGACAGCTATCCCGAGACCATCCATACAGGAGGTCCTGCCCTGCCTGCCTGGCACTGAGGCTCCGAGCCACTTCAGAGGCCACCCTAGGGCGGAGCACACACTTCACATGTACCCCCGTTTACTTCTCACAACCACATGTGGATAAACTAATCAGGAAAACTATTTTTTTGGACAATTTCAATATATGGCTGAAAAATAAAATGTATCCCTCCGCTCTTGTCCCTATTCCTCCCTAAAAGGAGCCAGTGCATGCAGGGCACCACGACAATGCCTGGCACGGTGTCAGCTAATGCCACCATGGTCAAGGGGGCTGTATGTGTGACAGAATCAGTGTAACAAGTTACAAGGAACAAAGTCCAAGAGAAGGAGAAAAAGCAACCTATTTTTCATATAAATCAAGCAAAATATTTACTATTAGATAATGCCACACACAAAAAAACAACAGGCAAACAGTCTCATTAATTGTATGTATGTCTCTCATCTGATACATATGCAGCAAACACAAAAATCTATTTCATCCTTCTGTTCTGTTTTTGACATAAAAATAGCGAAATGTATGGGACATGCTTTTCTCTTCTTTCGAACAAAATCTCTTAGCGATCATTCCTTAGCCTTACAGAGCTTCCTTGTTCTTTGTATCACTGCCCAGTACTACAGTCCATTGTAAGACTGCACACTAGTTAATTTCACCAGTCTACTAGTGGACATTTGGGTTATTTCCAGTTTTTCGCTATTACAAACTGCTGCGGTGAATGCACGAACACACATCACTGGCATGCATGCTAGCACCCCCACAGCATAAATAGCCAGAAGTAGAACTGCTGAGGCCAACGATCCCTGCATTTGTACCCCTGGCATACGCTGCCAAGTGCCCTCTATGGGATGGCATCAATTTACACTCCCACCAGCAGCATGTGAGGGTGCCAGTTTCCCCTGGGAGGCAGGTCCTTTTATTCTCAGACGGGGAAACCAAGGCTGAGAGAGATTCCACGCTAGAACTGTGGGACTCCAGAACCTAAGCTCTTTATGAACCAACGAGGGAACAAGTCACAAAGCAGAGGCACACAAAGTAGAAGAGCGAAGAGACTGATCCAGGGACAGTGACCAAGTCCTGCCGAGATAGACTTTCATGGAGCCACATCCTCACCTTGTGGCTATTTAAGAAACTGCACATGAAGACGTTTACAGGCAAACTGTTCTCACAATGATGGCGATAAACTGAGCCCATGAGCAGGAAAAATCAGGGTGATGGCTGAACCTGGCCCCTAGCCCCTAGCCCCTAGCTTCTACTTCTCGCTCCATTCCTAAACTCCATTCCTAAACTCCCTACTGGCTGCTGCTGGGCCCTGATAGGTGGCAGCTAATCTCCCTTTCACGCCCTGACAGTCCCCACTCCACTAAAGGGTGTGGTTTTAAAATGGGGCTGGATTAAGAGGATGCTGGGCAAGAGACGGGTGCAAACGAATGATCTCTGTCTTTGTTTTGATGTTTTGTTTTTTGTCTTGTCTGGATTCCAAAATAAAGTGTCCATTTATCCCTGGGGGGGTTGTGATTTAGAATTATAAGCTATTCAGGAGACACCTCTAGGGAACTTCCAAGTATACACACAAACCTGAGCTAGGTTAACAGTGTCGCCAGAGGCCTTTTAGCAACCAGTAAGGAGGTCTGAAATTTAAAGACTTTCATGGAAATGGTACTTCTGAAAAGAGAGATTACAGGGGGTTATTTTCTCATCTGGATAAGCAGTTTCTTCATAATCTCATTTATTAATCTGACAAATTCTTTCCCTCCTGTGCTACACAAGTTTATTATGAGAATCACACAGATACATGTAAAAGAATAAAAAGAAGCCCATGAGAGTTCATTCCAAATTGTACATAAGATGCTACAGAATACAAAGAGAAGGGAGAAGTCACCTGGGTAGAGATAATGAGGGAAAACTCCTTGAAGTAATGACTGCTGAAGGCAGACCATTTAAAAAACATCGATCATGTTGAAGAAAACAGTGGCCTAGCAAATGCCCAGTTTTCGATTTCTAGGGCTTGACCCTGTCTGCACTTGCCAGGTGGGCATCTGTAATACTGCACGAAGGTCCAGTCCTCATTTACAGATTCTAGATTTTACACATCATCCTTTCTGACCACCTGGGTTTGAGAGTGGAGGTGTGGGATCTGCTTGGACCCTTCCAATGAGAGACAGTTTACTCCTTTTCAAAGCACCCAATGATCTTATGCTCAGTCTGATAAAAACGACTTGCTGGGCTGGACCAACACTGTCCCTGGTTAGTAGCTTTAAACAACCTGGTATTCTGCGTGGGGCTTCCCTGCTCTTAGCTCACATTTTACAGTGCTCCTGGGGGCTAGCAGCTCCGTGGTGGGCAGAGGCCTCAGTTGGCCTCCTAATGGAAGCACCAGTAGATTGCGTTGAGTAACTGGAGGCCTCAGGGCACAGACAATGAACAATGAATTCAACCCTCCCATCTGAGAATGGTCTGTACACACCATATCTGCCAAACCAAGAGACAAGCCACACAAGCTTCAGGATATTCAGGGACCACCTGCACTTTGCTGTTAAACTTCTCCACTAGTTTCCAGGACTTGCAGAGGCCACATGACCTACCAGATATAATTAGGAGTGATGTAGGCTGGCTTGGCTTACTCCTACCCTACAGTAAAAATATGCTCACACATCACGTATGTAGTAACACTAACTCCATGAGCCTGGACATCTGACCCTTCCTGGTGTCTGGTGCATCACCCTTGTGCAGTCCTGTCCCAGCTGCCAGGACTTCATCCCACTTGCTCCTATCCCGGATGGAGGAAGGAGAACTGTGAACTGGGGCGGGGTGTGCGTGGGGGGTGGGGTGTGTGTGGAAGGATGCTGTTCCTCTCTTCGCTAAACCACTCAAATATATGAATGATCAGCTAGGGAGCAATCCTCCTCTGATCAGAAAAGGACTTTCCCAGAATTCTTTAAATCATGAGCTCCCTTTGAAACAATCTGATTTATACCAACTTTTTCTTGGAAGGGCCGTCTTTGAACCTGAGCGTGCAGACAGCCACCTGTACCAGCAAGGGCAAGGTGTTTCTTGACATAGCAAGCCCTTACCAGGTCAGGGGCCAAAACCCCAACACTCCTGTTGTTTTCACAGGAGGCCACAGGTATAGTGGCAAGTGCCATGCACACACGGGGGCAGAATCTGACCAGAGAACCAGACAAAGAGGCTCTCAGTACTGCTCTTTCTCACAGAACATGAAACTGCCCACAAGGAAAGGAGGAGGGGAAGGGTAGAACCCAGTGCTGTAGGTTGTTGGAAGGCTTCTGGGAACTAGATTAATAGGAAAAAGGAGCTTAAAGGCAGAAGCTCATCTATATGTGGGAGGCAGCAGGAAAGGGGGTAAAGACATATGTGGAGGAGGCCAACAAAAGGGGCAGTCACAAGAGGCCCAGGCCTGCCTCAGAGCAGGGTGGATGCCAGCGACACTGTGGCTAGAGGTTTGAGAATGGGAGGCCAATGGCCAAGAGCAATTGCCGTCCCACCTGCTCCTTCCCTGGCTGTAGAAGCCCTGAAGCCCCTTCGTCCTCCACACTGGTCCCGTTTTCCCTGTAAGGCAGGTCACCATGAGTGCTGGGTCCCCTCCTTTGCAGGTGGAAGTAAAGCAAAGTGAAAAGGAAGACCAGGCTTAAACTGCAGAGGGGGAGATATGACTCCAATGGGCTGATGCCATCCTCAGGATCCTCGGGTACCAGCAGCCCCTTCTCCCCCCAGGGCTGCTTCCCCGCCTTTGCTTAGTGAAAGAAAGGGTCCTCTGGGCCCTAGGAGGAGCCACTGGGTCCTTCCAGATCAGCGGTTCTCAACCTGTGGGTCACGACCCCTTTGGGGGTCGAACGACCCTTTCATAGGGGTCGCCTAAGACCATCAGAAAACACATACATAATTACATATTGTTTTTGTGATTAATCACTATGCTTTAATTATGCTCAATTTGTAACAATGAAATTGGGGGTCACCACAACATGAGGAACTGTATTAAAGGGTCGTGGCATTAGGAAGGTTGAGAACCACTGTTCTAGATCAATGTGGTGGGAAGGCTGTTGCCAGAATGCTCTCCAACCCCCCTTTCTCTCTCACTCACCCACTTACTCACTCACTCACCAGCTGGCTGACTGACTGGGACCACCAGACAGCCTCACAGCAGGCCAATCTTCTAACTTGTCCTGAGAGGTCTTTGGGTGACCTTTAGAGACACAACTGCCACATCTACAAGGAACTGAGGACTGAGCTCCTAGCCACCTCTCCCCTAAACCCCAAGCTCTCCTTAGCAGTCAGCAGACTGTTCCCGTCCAACGAAGCTCAAAGTGCGAGGATGATGAGGACTGAACATGTCAATCAACTGTACCCTCTATTCCCACCAAGAGCAAGGCAGAAAAACAGCTTCCCTGGAACAAAAAACTGCTCCTACTGTCCCAGGAAGCTGGCCCTGGACCAGTTCCACAAGCCACTGCTTTTACTGTGCTGACAGTTTGCTGTGAGCCCATCAGGCTACACATATGAAGACGGATAAGAATCTTGCTGAATTTCTCAAGAGAGGCTATGAAGAATGTTACTCAAGTACCAAAACCAAAGGTTCCTATTAGAGAACCCAGGAGACAAGAATTCTCTGGTCTCAGTAAGAGAAACAGCTGTTTCACTGAGCAGCCAGTTGATTTTTATAGTTAATGGCAAAACGGATTTTTAAAAAATATTTCCTCTTTGCTTTGGCTGCTAAGAAGCTCAGGACCAGATCTGTAGTCCCACACCAGCAAAATATATAGGACAAAGAGGCAGTCATTTTTTGTACTGATCTTACCCCTCACTTCTCTCTTCTTTTACCCTCTGTCTCAATTACTTTCATTAAAAATCCTGTTACACTGAAAGTATCCTGGAGAGATTCCTCAAATCATTTTTTTGGAACAAAATAAGAGGAACTGTTAAAAAAACAGAATAACCGCCCTGACCAGTTTGGCTCAGTGGATAGAGCGTCGGCCTGTGGACTGAAAGGTCCCAGGTTCGATTCCAGTCAAGGGCATGTACCTTGGTTGCAGGCATATCCCCAGTAGGAGGTGTGCAAGAGGCAGCTGATCGGTGTTTCTCTCTCATCGATATTTCTAACTCTCTATTCCTCTTCCTTCCTCTCTGTAAAAAAAATCAATAAAATATATTAAATAAAAAACAAAAAAACAACAACACAGAATAACGGGGGGAAAGCTCCTAAACCCGACTTCATCCCAATACCATAAGAAAACAAAACCTGTTTATCAGTACTTCTAAAACGCAAATGCAGATACTTTTGTTAGTACCTTTCTATTCAAAGTGTGTATGTAAGTTCACGGACCAGCAGCATCTACATCACTGTAGAGCTTGCTGGAAATATAGATTCTCAGGACCCACCCCCTACACCTGGAATCAGAATCTGCACATGAGCAAGAGGTCCAGAGGACTGGTAAGCACCATGTTTCAGAACCGCCAGGTTGGAAAGCCCATGTCTGCACTGTGAAGCAGAACTATAATGGCTTTATGCACATTCACTGAGTGCCTATCTTCTGCCGGGCACACAGAAGAAAACTGATGGCCCTGTCCTTAACGTCCTTCCAATAGGACACTAGAAAAAGCTCACATCTTGTGACAGGTTTTTAATGGCTAATTACAGAATGTCACGGCTGGATGGGAGTCCCCAGAAAGAACAGCATTCCCTAGAAAGGATTCAAGATTCTCTGTGGCTTCAGTAAAAGCAGAATCAGAAATCAGAATTCTCCTGTGACAGTTACAAGTAGTGGTTTTGTTTTGGAAACTCCAAATAATTTAAGAGAAACTGGTGTGCAAAGGGAACCTACAGCTGGAAGGAAATGTATAACTTAGCCTGTTTCCTGCAGCCAGAAAGTGGTACAGGAAAACCTGGAAGTGAGGCAATCTCCCCGAGGGGTTACATCTGCAACCTCTAGGTCTGGCAACCAGGTCTAGAACCAACAGGAAGATTTCTTCCACTTTTCACGTTTACGAACAACTTTCAAGACAGGAACCAGTTTCTTCATGAGAAGAGATTTGTTGTAAGGAGAGAAGCGACCCCGGGCTCTGCCTCTCTCTGGCTGAACTAACCAACCATCCTAAAGATTTTCTGTCAACCACACCAGGACCCCTTTTACTCCTCTGCTCATTTTGAGTAGGAGGCCACATTTTGAGCATATCCATTCCCATCATAATACTTGCCAAAATGTTATTTGGCGCTTCAATCTCTAGTGGGTCGCAAGACTAAAAGCATAAAGAGTTAATTTCTATGGAATAGAGGCATACCTTGAGACATTGCGGGTTCAGTTCCAGACAACGGCAATAAAATGAGTTATAATATTTTTGCTTGAAGGGTCTTGCCTTCAATTTGTCTAAAATGCAACATCTGTGCAACACAATAAAATAAAGTTTGCCTGTATGCACTTTTACTGAGGGAGGCTGGGGTGGGATCTGAAAAGGTTTAAGGGATTTTTAAAAATCAAGAAACACACAGGACAAACGCAGACAGGTCCTAAAGGGTCAAAAGCCATGCAGATATTTAGTATTAGTGAATCTGTTCAAGTATCTGTTTATTTTTATCCTAACAACTGCTAACAGCTCCTGAACATTTCCTGTGTGCCAAGGACTATGCTGAGCACTTTCTGTCAATTACTTAATCCTCAGAACCCATGGAGCAGCTCCCATTTTACAGATGAGGAAAATGCGACATACAGAAGTTTAATCACTTGTCTGGAGTTAGTAACATGGAAGAGCTAAAGTCTGATTTGACTTGGAGGTCTCCCTACCCCGTAAGAACAATTGGTCCAACAAGGTAACGAAAGTACAGTTTTCGTTTTGTACACTTTTGGGCTGTGCTGCTGATTTTTTGTTTTCTTTTGGCTTCCTTCAGTCAGAGTGACTTCTATGTCCCAAGCACTGTGCCAGGGGCTGGGGAAACCACACAGCAGCAACAGAGGGCAGCCTACAGGAGGGAGTGGCGATCAGTTGTGGGGAGCGGGGAGAGCTTTAAGAAGCTTTCCCAAAGAGGCGAAACTGAGTTCTTTGCTCTTTTCTGTATGGAGTGGCCCAGAATCGATGGATCCAAGTGGCGGAAGAAACAGGGATGAGAAGTTGTGACCTCTACTTCTTTTAACCAAGCCCAAGACCCTTGATTTCTAACATCACACACTCTGCCAAGCATTTTAACAACATTCTTCATAGATCTAGGAGCTGTTGGGGTACTTACCAACGCTGGCTATCTTGGGACTACCTCCCCCCCACCTCCAGTGACCTCCAATGAATTCCCAGGGAGGTCCAATGTGCTCTGGCAGGTTTCCGCTCATTTTTATTACAAACAATACACCGACCCTAAAGGGGCTGAAACAGGCTTTGGACAACGCGCCCCTGGGCCGCATACAGCTGTTCCCGCGATGGCAGCTGGAAAGGCTGGCCCTTCCAGGCATGAGTGAGATATCTTGCGTTTTCCCCTTGGCAGCCGTGGACAGCTGCATACCAGGCGACCAGAGCGCATCATTCGCCGTCCTCTTCCCCGCGGGAATGACCCTGAGCTGCGAGCCTGGGTCGGAGTCGCTTATACCCCGGGGCACCGGGCCCTCGGCGTGGGCGCAGGGTCAGCGGCACAATCCCGGGCGAAGCCCGGAGGGAAAGTGCGTTCCCGGGAGGCAGCGGCCCAGCAGCCGCGCGGCTGCGAGTTCGCCGGGCCACGCGCGCCCCACCCCCCGCCGCGCTCAGGCTTCCCAGTCCCGGCTCCCCCCTCCGCGCCCCGACCCCTGGCCCCGACCCGCGCCCGCCGGTCCGTCCGCAAAATGGAGGCGAAGGCACGAGGCGCCCCGGCGCCCAGAAAGCCTTCGTGCCCTTCCAAGTGGGGGACGCGAGGCCCGGCAGCCCGCCCGGTCTCGCAGACCCGGAGAGGCCCGCAGGGCACAGGGGGCCGGCCGCGCGGGAGGGGACTTGCCTGGGCCGCCGCCTCCGGACCCGCGGATCCCCGACGCCCGCGCCGGGCACTACCTACCGCGCCTCGGCCGCTCCGGACGCCCCCAGCAGGCCTGCGGCAGCGCCCGCGGCGCCAGCGGCCCCATACGGCAGCCCCGCGGCTGGGGTCCAGGTGCAAACCGCTGCCCCCGCGCGGGAGCCCAAACGCTTGGGGCGGGACCGGGTGCCGGACACGCCCTTCGCATCCCTCCCGCCTCCGGGCGGAGGGAGCCTTGGGCGAAGCACGGCCAATCCCAGCCCTCGGTCCAGAGAATCGGCCAATGGAGGCCCGCTCCTTCGAGAAGAGCCCACCCCTTGTGACGGATTGGCGTATGGGAGGCCGGATCTTCTTGGGGGTTCTCGGCCTCCTTCCCTCCCTCGCCTTCCGCGCTCGCCGCTCACGTTCGCTAGTTCCGTGCCCGTGGGGTCGTGCGAGGGCGCGTCTGGCGGCGCGGCGGGTGGATGGATGCCGCCGCGGGCGCTCTTTCCCTGCGTGTAGGCCGCGCCCTCAGTCTGCATTCGGTTATTCATTCATTTTGCTCGGAGCGCGCTGCTATGCCCGGCGCGCCGCTAACGGGATTCCGCCGAGCAGGAAACGCTAGAGTTGGGTCACTGTGCTGCCGGGCACTGCCGGAGTGGGGGCAGAGCACGAGGAGGTTAGAGACTTTGCCCTGCCCAGGAGTCACAAACTTTTGACAGCAAGAGAGAAACTAGCCCACAGATGGTTTTGTTTGTTTTTGTTTTGTTTTTTTTAATGAGAATTTAAGCCCAAAGGACAGCAGCACTTATGTGTTAAGTAACAGCCAGCCTATACATTTGTTACCTGCTTGACATCTGAAGGCATTTGTGTTTGTGACCCTTGGTCTTCTCTGAATATACAGCTGGAGAGAGAACAGGTCAGGTGGAGAACCAGGGCACCAAATCCAACCGAAGGGAACTTGATGGGGGGTGGATCAAGGCTGAATGAATAAGATTTCAAAAGTCCGAGGGACTTCTAGATGGTAGAATTTGACATAAGCAGACTCTAAGCTGGAAAGTAATTCTGAAGTTAGCAAAAGACCAGCACAGTCCTGACCCGCCGCTGTGTGTGTCTGGTCCCACGTCACATCCCACCACCTTCATAGGCCCACCCTGATCTCAATCAGATGTGCACGCTCCCTCCTTGGACCTCTGCAGCACACCATGTGTACCTTTCCTGTGGCCTGTTTCATTTTCTTCCCCGTATGATGTCCTCATCTGTAAGAGGGGATCAGGTGGATGGCTTCTAAGGGTCTTTTCAGCTCTGACATTCTGTGATTTTGTGTCGTAAGCATCTTTTGTTTTTGCCTGACAAGTAATTTTTCTTTGAGGAATTGCCTAAAATCCCCTGGATCAGATGGCTCTTAAGGGCCTCCCAAGACTGGAAGGGTGGGGAGAAAGGGAGGCATGAAGCCCAGGCCTGGCCAACTCTAGTCCCTCCTCTAGTCCTCATAGAAGTGACCCAACCTGAGGTGGTCTGCGCCCTTGTCTGGGATTTCAGAGCGGAGGCTGGGAGAGAGCGGCTCATTCTTTTCCTGCGGTGTCTCTAAGCTTGGCGAAGTAAGCCTGGAGCTGGGTATGTGTATAGTCCTTATACCAGAAGAGCTCTAGAACCAGATCCGGAAATGGGAGAAACCCAGGAAGGCCAGGCAGCGATGATCAGCGAAAGCCATGCTGCTCAAGTGCTCTGATTAGAGTGCAGGCCTGCACTTTTCGTGTTGCCATGAATTGTTTTTCAACTCTTCTGTGATATTAAATATCCTCTCAAGATTCATGTTTTTGGTCAGGATCATTGACTTGGCCTTGTGTAGGTCATGTGCCTGTGTTCCGGCTGGTAATAGGCAAGGAAAGTTCTGGTTTCTGCTGTGGCTTCTACTGGACTCATTGGCTTCTAGTGTGAGAGGAGGGGCCCGGGACTCAGACTGGGGTGGGCTTCCCCCAATTTCAAAGGATGTTCAGATGCTGGGTAGCCAAAAAGAACTCTACTAGATAGTCCATCTCTTAGGCGAAGGAATGCCCAACATCCACAGACATGCTTCATCTTGTGCTCTCAAATTTAAATAAAAACACTCCCATCCAAGATAATGCAACCATCTCTCTTACAACAACAATAAAAATGTACTCATTTCCTCCCCAAATGAGGACAGCTCCAAGTTTCATCAGTTATTGAATCTGGCCCACATCCAAATGTGTAGGTGATGATGCATTTTTCCTCTAAGTTTCATCGTCATCCTATCTCAGTGTTGGAAAGTGTAGACTAAAATGTAAAGTTCACCCTCACTGATATACTTTAAATGCAATAATGAAGAGAAGGGAGACAAAAGAAAAGGACAATCGCTAAAAAGTCTATTTATGATACAGCAAGGAAGGAAATACCAGTAGAGGCTACACTCTTCATTTTTACTACTGGTAATGAATCGGTACTGGTATTTACAATTTCCCTTCTCCACTATCCATTCCAGTTCTCCTTACCTTCAAGCTGACCAGGATTCTTTACCTGGTGGGTTAACCACATGTTCACTCATGTGTAGGCAGTACCTCTTCAGTAACGTGTATCTCTGCCACAAGAGTGATGAGGTGCCCGAGGAGACCTCCTGGGCTCTAATCGTGTTCCTCCTCAGTCGCCTTTTGCTGATCTGACCAAAAAAAATAGGTATGATTTTGATTCATTCACACTGGACGACTATCGTTGTGTTGGCTGTTGTCATTTTTTATTGGACAATCCAAGGGAAAAGAAGTCAGTGCCCCCTGACTAAATAGGTATTGCATGTTTTAAACATTGCGACACACTGGTTGAAAATGGCCAGTGTAGAGGAAGGAACTTTGCTTGGCCTATACACGCCCGTCCCACTGGCAGGAATGGCATGCACAGAGGAAGTTGACTGGGATAAAGACAATGACGTTGATTTTGGACTTAGATGAAAACAAGACATTCAGATGGTGCTGATTTCTAGTCAGTTGGAGATAAGGAGCTGAAGTTCAGGAGTCAGGGCTGGAGGTGAAGATGAGATTGTCAGTCATATAGCCCAGCTATAGCTAAAGCTACTGTTAGGGAACAGAACGAGTTCGTCCACCGGTGCTCGCAGAGCCAAGCACTAAGCACAAAGGATTGCAGTGGAGAAATACTGGCTATTTTATCGATGAAGGGCACCATCCAGGAGAACAAGGAAGCTCAAAGCCCGAACTCCCTGGTGGCATATAGGTCATATAGGCACTGTGAGTTAGGAGTTTGGGGTCATGCTGGAAGCTGATTGGTTGGAGATGAGGTAAGGGTAATAAATCATCTCTTCAGGCCTTGGAGACAGCTCCAGGGCCTGTTCCACTGTCCCTCTGTCTGGTTTCATGAGAAAGCAGCCCCGGGTGTCACTTTACCTTCGGGCTCAGGAACTGAAGCATCATTTAGGTCAGGATGTTATCTTTAGGCCCAGAGGCCTGGACCATGTGGCCATTAGTCAGGTCCGGGTTACTGTTTTCTTCGGCCTTGGGGGTTGCTGATTATCTGGGGGAAAAGGGTAGGTTTCTAAGGGGAATGTATACACTGGTGGGCCAAAGTAGGTTTACTGTTGTGAGCATGTGAAACAGATTTTGTTCTCGTTTTATTATTTTTTAATTATTGTATTATTTTTCATACGAGCATGTGATTAGAGAGAGAGAGATGTGATTTGTAGAACTGGGATTTAAAGCTAAACTTAAAGTCATAAGGCTCCTCAGTTTCACTACAGACAGGACAGAGATTGCATGGGCATGGGAGGGAGTGTAAGGCTGGAAAAGCCAAGGGCAGTTGCTGTAATAACATTCATTCTTTCCGCCATTTTACCAGAACTTCAGAAATTTGCATCTGGCATAAAAACGTGGAGTTGCCTGCAACACACTTCCCTTTTTGGCTTTGTTTTCAAAAGTTTAACCCCCCTGAGATGACTTAGTGTAGAGGAGCAAGGAAATAGCTCGGAGGGAAACCTGAGCCTCCTCAGGCTGGGGAAGGGGTCCAGGCTCCCTCAACCACTGGGCCCTGGGCAACCCCTGGGGAGGTGGCCAGACCTCAGAAAGAACAGTGAGGGGTTCCTGGCTTCACCAGCCACCCATGTGCCCCCAGGGTGGCCTGTAAGCTAGTGGGCTATTGGATCCGAGGGAATCAGCTAACCTGAGACAGTGGAGGCCTCGGCAGTGACCACAGATGACCCCAGACTGCAGGGTCTTCCTAGGACCTCTCATGGATAACTTGAAACAGAATTTCCTATTGATTTGGAGTTGAAATGAACTTGATTTAGATCATTTATTCCAGAGTGGAGGTTTTTAAAGGTTGCAGGGGATGAATATACTACATCAATAATGCTGCCCTGATCATCTTTGTGCATTTAGCCTTATTTATACTATACACAGGGTTTTTGTTTTTGTTTTGAAGGTAGATTCACAGAAGTAGAATTGCAAATTGAAAGGACGTAGATATTATTAAGGCTCTTGATACATAACCTAAATCTCTTCTGGATGGGTTGTACCTTTTCAGATTTGTATTTCAAACCTAGGACCTCTTGCCTGGCTGGAATGACTCACTGCTTGAGCATCAACCTATGAACTAGGACCATGGTCGGCAAACTGTGGCTCTCGAGCCACATGCGGCTGTTTGGCCCCTTGAGTGTGGCTCTTCCTAAGCCTTAGGAGTACCCTAATTAAGTTAGTAACAATGTACCTACTACCTATACAGTTTAAGTTTAAAAAATTTGGCTCTCAAAAGAAATTTCAATCCTTGTACTGTTGATATTTGGCTCTGTTGACTAATGAGTTTGCCGACCACTGAACCAGGAGGTCATGGTTCAATTCCCAGTCAGGGCACATGCCCGGGGTTTCAGGCTCGATTCCCAGTGTGGGGAGTGCAGTAGTCAGCTGATCCATGATTCTCTTCCATCATTGATGTTTCTCTCTCTCCTTCTCCCTTTCTCTCTGAAATCAATAAAAATATATTATAAAAAAACACACACAAAAAAACTAGGACCTCTCTTCAGTGGGGTGGGGTTGAGGGGGCAGATTGGAAAACTGTTAGGAGACTATTGCAGTAGCTCATATGAGACATGAGGAATGGCAGTGGGGAGAAAGAAAGGCGAAAATGCCAGTGTCATTGAGGAAACGATATCAATAAACCATCTCCCCGTGTGGGTGAAGGAGAGAGCAAACAAGAACACCTTACTGATTTCCAGCTTCAAAATCAGAGTAGATGAGAACCTATCAACCAAGAGACAGTATGGCTTGTTGGCATGAGCCTGTTTTGTGGATCTAG